TATCAGGCGAAAACAACAGAGAAGTCTTGAGTGAATGGAGGTACTTTTTCACGTGGCCTACGATTACATGTGCCATTCTTGTCACAAGGTCTTGTGCCTGTAGTTCAGACAGTTTTAATAAGTGATTAAATAAATCAGTGAAAGAGGAAAAGAAAAAAGCTTTTCAAAAACTATTAAATGCAAAGGTACAGCTTCTGCCTCTGGTGTCCTGCACCACCATTTGTTGAAAACAAAGATCAGCAAGGAAAAGTGTCACCACAAGCTTATCTTGGTCTTTCTTTCCCTACTCACCCCCAATAAATGAGGTTTGCCACTGTCCAGGGCAGTATGGATCCTGACTGTGGCATAAAGCAACTCTTCAGCATAATTCTTAAGTGTGTAAAAAGCATAAACTGAAATCAGTTCTATGTGGTGCCGGCTAGCACTGAAGAGCATTACGAGAGAATGACCTAAACTGCTTCCTGCTGAAAGAGGAGGATACTGCCGAATATGCTCAGGTTATGGCTTTTCACTTGATAAAGGTGTGGATGAAATGGTAGCTATGAACTGAAGCCATAAGTGGGTCAGATCACACCCCTTATAACAGTAAACAACAGGATTTTTTGTAAAAGTGCCAGAAGTTTGAGCTAGAATTGTGTTGATCTTGCACGATGCACTAAGACATTTTCTTAAGATTTATGCAGCTATTTATTTTGCCATGCTGTAGTATGGCTTTCCTTTCTAGGATGCCCCAGGACCTGTTTCTCACCATAAAGGGCCACATGCACCTGCCAGCTCTTCTTGATATGGGGGATGCTACAAGAAAAGATTGTAAGATGTTTTGGACTATAACATGCTCTGCCTTTCTTTGAACCCCCATGTAGGAGTCGCTGTTCTTCCTCATTGACTAAGGTGTTTGAAGTATGTCCTTGCTAAGAAAATGTAATGATGTAACGTCTTGTGTGAATCATTCCGATGAAGGTCATTCAGCAGGTTGAGCTAGACCATCTTGAGGTGGCACAGATAACAGTTAAGGTCCCATACTTTCCTATTCACTACAGGACCACAAGCTGTGCTCATGGAATATGTGAGATGCTGTTACTCAAGAAATGTTTCTTGTGCTGTAATCTATCTTGGTCTGCCATCAGTTGCTGAGTTTGGTGTTCTTACGGTTTTGGGTAGCATTACTGCCCATATTTGATACTTGCTGATCTTGCCAATCCAAGCAAGATTCAGTTTCTAGGCAACATGACTGCCAGTATTTGTGATGGAGCATTGCCCTATTTCTTATGCTATCAACTGTGGATAGCAATAGATCATTTGTGTTTTGTAAATTCTGTAAATAAGCTTCTAGTTGTCATGGTAATAAAGTATGTATCAGAGATTTTTAACTGAGTTGCTTGTCAATTTGGATATTATCTTCTTTTTCCATTGCCTTTGTTTGGTGCATTCTGTATTTTATTTTATTCTTTAGAAAGAATCTGTTACTATGTGTAAAGATGTCTTTTTTTTTTTTCCATTCCTATAAAAGAAAATGCAGTCCTAACTTTACTGATCACATGCATTGTTTCTGACATGATAGCAGCAGGAGGTCAATTCTGTTGGGGAAAAAAAACCACTGTTTTTCAGGGAAGCTGTACTGGGTGCACACAGGGAATGAGGGAATAGAAATGCATAATGTCATGGTTCGTTGCAGCTAACTATGTCTGTGTCTAAGAGATTTTTTCAAGAGTACGCCTGAGGAGTATTCTTCAATAAACAGTATTCATGTGTGTTTTGACAAGGAACTTTAAAACTGAACGTATCTAAATCTCTATGAAAAGCTCTGTTTGAAAACACTCGCTGTGCAGGTAAGTGTTATAATCTATTAGACATTACTTGTTCTTTGTAATGCAGGATTACAGCTGGACAGACATCCGATGTCCCTTTGAAAAGCGCAGGGATGCAGCTTGTGTCTTCTGGGACAACGTAGTTTATATTTTGGGTGGTTCCCAGCTCTTCCCTATAAAGCGAATGGACTGCTACAATGTGGTGAAGGATAGCTGGTATTCCAAGCTAGGACCTCCAACACCTCGAGATAGCCTTGCAGCCTGTGCTGCTGAGGGCAAAATTTATACATCTGGTGGTTCAGAAGTGGGTAAGACACTAAAAATCTTTAAAACAAACCAAAAAAATAAAAAAAGGCACAAAGACCTGGAATTTTTTCTGGTTTTTGCATGACTGTTGAAAAGAAGCTGCACGTTGCCATGTTAGCCTAATGAGTTTATTTTTCTATATTTAGGATTTTTATCCTCCCCACAATCCAACAACCTATTTCTGTTGTGTTTTTAAAATGGTTTCATTGATTGAAATGATTAAAATTTACTTTAAGCATCAAGTACACTGCAACTCTTCAGAAAGTTAACTAGGGACAAGGAAATAGATTTTGGCAGTCCCACTCAGCTCATAGCTTTACTTCTATAAATGCACAGAACTCAGCGTGGTTTAACGTTTTCTGTGATGTATGACCAGAATAGCTGCATTTTGGCAATGGCATTCGTTGTTTACAACATATGTTTGGCCTGATAAGGCCTTTCTTAAGGAGAGGAGGGAAAAAAAGGTGTGTGGGGGGAAGCACTACTGCTTTTTGTAGTGAAATGATACATGTCCCTGTGAAGGAATTTGTCAGTTTTTCAGTCAAATAACAGTGTTGTCATCTGATAGTTTGTTATTCAATTGGTTTGCGTCAGTAAATGAAGGAAAACTACTTTAGATGTTAGTACTCATCATGGTTAAAAAAAAAAAGAAAAAAAGACCATTGGGGTTTTTCTTCCAAAAAAAGATGGGCGTTGCTGGGTGTTACAGCAACATTTTAAAATCTATTTTGTCTAAATCTGATACAAACAAATCAAAGGTTTGAATGTAGGTATGCTGTACCCAAAAAATATAGAGCTTTAAAAACAGCTGTGTTCTGTAGGGAGAAAAAAAAGGAAGTCAACACAAACAAAACCTAGAGCCAGGAGAAATTTTCTCTTAGATTCTTTTGAGTTCTGCCTTGCTGCAGAGGGAGGTGAGAAGAGGAAAAGAGGTCATCATCGGTGCTTAAGACTGAATCACATAATGGGAAGTTAAGACATTTAGGTAATGTTAGCTGACTCCTAAAATACTTTTTAAAGGGCTGATGTAGCAGCAGATTAGGCAGTTCCTACCCGCCACCTAGTGTGATAACTGTGAAATGGCACCTTTCCCATTAAAACAGCCTTGCATGGGGAAACTTGGAACACTACGAAGTCTGGTAAATCTTGTAGTTTCCCATGCCTGCTCAGGAGGGAGTATGATACAAACTTTGATTGTATAGTTTATTTTCTAATACATCGTAATTAGTTAATACAACTATAATGGAAGTTTTAATTTAGGAGTTTTCTTTTAAATCTACCATTGCACATTGTCCCTTTGCTTCCCATAGATATTATTCAAGAGAGAACAGTAAAAGCTAAAAATTAATAATGGAGTTTATTTTGCCTGTACTTTTTTCTTCTTTGGAACCCACTGAACACTGCTTTTCTTGGAAAAGTGTCTATGCCAAATCTAGCATTTTCTGCTTTGAAGCATGCAATTATGTGAAACCATTATTTGCAGAAAATGCTGCAGTGTGTTTAGCTGTAGAGGAATCTAAAAATTGCATGATTTTTGCACTGATTGAGGAGTTTGGAAAACTAATTACTGTGCCAGTCCACTACAGAAAACAGGGCTCACTTCCCCTTTTTGAACTCTTGGGGGTACTGTTTCATTTGCAATAGCAAGCAGAGTTTGGAAGTTAAACATACTAAATTCTTCCACTGTATTTAGGTGCAGGAAAAAATATTTAACATTATACTGACAGCATACTGAAAATGAATCTTTTACCTTTAAAAAAATAAAAGACATTAAAGACAGTTCTGCTGTTACTTCCCATGGATGAGAGATTCTACAGCTTCAGAGCAATAAGGATGTGTATTTACATCAAGGAAAAAATATGTCCCATTTGATACAATTCTTCATGATACTGAGCATTACATGGTAGGAGTAAACAAATGCAGTTTATAGAAGTCTGTTCCTGGTTTTGGATCTAGAAATGTAGTATTGTTTTGAGGGCTCAAGTCCCCAGTTGTGAGTGCTGCTAGTGTAACACACTTAAATTTTTATAAGCAGAAAGCCAAAGAAATAGAATCACAAGACAAGGCACCTTTAACTGTTCTAGATGAATATATGTATTGAAACAAAAGGGGAGAAGGATCCTGGTTGTTTTCTGAGAAAGTTATATCCATCCTTCTCTGCTTTGGCTATGGTTCATGAGCATGAGTCTTTCAGTTCCCATCTAACTTCCCTAGAAAAAACTGCTTTTTTATTTCGGTAATAGCTTTATTTGCCCTTGAGAAAGTAGTACACAGACTTTGCACTTCCAGAAAATACTGTCTCCTAGTCCCCAGGAAGAATGTAACATGGTGAGGGGTAACAGTTTTGTGGTTGCTAATAATTCAGGAGTGGGTTACAACATAATGAAGTTCCAAAGGCAACAGGTATTCAGGGAATAGGGCAAGTCACATTGCTTAGAGAAAAAAGACTTACTTGAATCCGTACTAAGTTTATAAGGCTGGTTTCATCTTCACATCTGAAAATTCAACATATTTCTAAGTAGTGAGAGTAGCAGGAGATTATGGCAAATGATTAGTAATCTATATACATTTTTGTTCAGTGTTTATTTCCCTCCCCCCCAAAAAAAAAACAAAACAAAACCCCACAAATAACAAGCCCAAACAAAACCCTCATCATTTGTTTCTGGTTTTAAACACAAATAGCAGTTTTATAAACTTACTTGCATATTTTGAAACAAAAGAGTCCAAAGAATTACAAGTAGGCAATTTCTGAATAGCCCAAGTTTTGAGTTGGTTACTTTTGCTTTTGGAGGTGGGAAAGCAGCTTTCCCTTTTCAATGAATAAATTACTGTTAGACTCTTCTCTTGAAAGACAACCATAAAATTAATGCCACTTTGGTGGGTTTCTGTTTTTTTAAGGAAATTCTGCACTGTATTTATTTGAATGCTATGACACAAGAACAGAAAGCTGGCACACAAAGCCCAGCATGCTGACTCAGCGATGCAGCCATGGGATGGTGGAGGCGAATGGTCTCATTTACGTGTGCGGAGGAAGCTTGGGAAACAATGTTTCTGGAAGAGTCCTAAATTCCTGTGAAGTCTATGATCCAGCCACCGAAACGTAAGTATTAATTCTGATTATTTTTGGTCACTTGTGGCTTTACTTGCTCTGTAAATAACTAAAGTATGGATGAAAAATTATATGTGGTAAGGACTTTTCCTGAGTTAACCTGTAATAAACAAGTTATCTGTAGTTTCACTTAAAAGGCAGTTTTTCTTAAGCAGCTTTTTTCTGCGTTTATTTTCCTAATGCTAGGTTTTATTTATTTGTTTTATACTTATTTACTAGGAACTGTATAGTGAGTTTGCCTGTTTGGTTTTCTGTTTCCCTAGGTGGACTGAGCTATGTCCAATGATTGAAGCGAGAAAGAATCACGGTCTCGTGTTCGTGAGGGACAAAATATTTGCTGTGGGTGGACAAAATGGCTTAGGTACTTGAATTCTGTCAGTTCTCAAGCTGGTCACGCTAGGTTTCATGGGGGCCTTTTTTCTTCTGCAAAGCATTCATTCTGCTCTGTTCAGCTGAAAAACTTTGAGCAGTACCATAAAACATGTCCTGTTTTTGTGACACCATTGATGCCTTCTTTCTTCCAGCTTCCTGCTTTACTTGCTTATTTTTCACTCTTTTTTACTAATGACAGTACTCCCAAACCCAGATACGCACCCAGACTGTAGCCCAGTTCTGCAGTAGTTAATATGGCTAAAACAGTCATCTGAGTAAAGCTTGATTTTAAATTTTTTATTCATCATGTATTTTGAGAGATTTCAGCATTCTTTTTGAGACAGGTGTAGCTATTATTTGAGGTACTTCAGTCTAAAGACTTAAAGCTAGTCAGGCATTTTAAAGCAGTGAAAAAGTGAAAACTTCTTTGACTGCCTTAGCTTTGAAATATGACTTACTGTCACCAGCAAGTCATTTATGATCTGCCTGTCTACTTGCCTTTAAAACTAGAATAATATTTTATTTCCCAGGAGAACTGAATTTTAATCACATAGGGTTTCTGAAGTGCTTTTTTTTTTTTTTTTTTAATGGAAAGTTCTCAGCTGTGAGGTTTATTAATTACCATTTATGGTAATTGGAATATCTGATTTCAGATTAACACTATTTTAGAATATAGGTTGTACTTAGCTATTAAAACTACTACAGAATGATTGATTTCTGATGCAAAAAATCAGGAGATGCTTTTTTTTTTTTTGCAAATATATTAATCACTTATAGCCAGAGTTGCCATTTTGCTAAATGTTATTCACTGAATGCTCATTTCAGAAGTGTGTACTATTGAGCAAATAAGTTAAAGTATTATTTTGCAGTTCATATTCTGTAGCCTGACTGATTAATTGTTCATACTGTAATATATGGGGAAGAGTCATATCTGGGGCAAAATATTTGTACCTCTTAACATGATATAAAGATTTCCTAATCTCTCAGATCTAAGAATTCAGTACTGAAAATGAAAACTGTGACCCTTACTACAATTGTTAAATAGGGATAACAGGATGTTTGCAGATATTACTACCCTGTTTCCTATAGAAGCAAATCTTAGTCATAAAATCTACTCTTCCCTAATAACTTCTGATTCTCTTGGCCTTTTCAAAAGGACTTGGGCTTTTAAACTTGACTGATTTTAGTATCATAATGAAGAGAGACATCCTGCATCAGCAAATGACCAAATTTAGGTAAAGGGTAGTGGTGACCCCTCTAGAATAAAATGCTCTCACTATAGGAAAGTTCCAGGTGGATTCCTGAGTTTTAGTCACTAGCCACAAATCCAAAAGGGGTTTGGTATTGTTAGTTCTTCTGCTCATGAAGTAACATGTTAGAATCTCTAGAAAGCATATAATGTGAAATGTTACATCTCACTTTTAGTCTCCTTTTTATTTTTCTCTGTCTCTGTATTTACAAAATGGTAAAACTCCAGTTTAGAAACCTGTGCCTTTTAATCTAAACCTTGAAAATAAACTAAGTCAGATCGTTTGTATGCTCTAGTTCAGTCCATGGTATGATGTAATAAGCAATTATCTATTTCATTGCTTTGTAGGTGGCCTTGATAATGTAGAATATTACGATATCAAGATGAATGAATGGAAGATGGTGTCTCCAATGCCATGGAAAGGTGTAACAGTGAAGTGTGCTGCTGTGGGACCTATAGTCTATGTCCTGGCTGGTTTTCAGGGTGTTGGTCGATTAGGGCACATTCTTGAGTATAATACTGAAACAGACAAGTGGATAGCTAACTCCAAAGTCCGTGCTTTCCCAGTGACAAGTTGTTTAATCTGTGTTGTAGACACTTGTGGGGCAAATGAAGAAACTTTAGAGACTTGAAGACCCATAGGCGATGCTGAGACATTCTTCGAGGACTTGGGGAAAGATAGCTATTGGTGCTTTGCTTCCATGTTTTACTGAATCTTGTTAAACTGAGTAATAGGAAAAACTGAGCTGCAGTCTTTCAATTTGTATATACGGCATATTGTATTATATGGATTTCTGTCATGCCCATTTTCTTGTCTGTTTAAGAGATGGGGATGTGTTTTGAGAATCTGCTTATCTAGCTGAGATCATATGGCATATTCCTTTAAAAGGACTGTGTGTGGCCTTGTCAAAAACAGACCCAGTCCAATTATTCAGAAAAACTCAAAGCATTTGATGAAGATAAGATTTCTGGTTAAATGACACTTTACTGAGCTCAGTTGCAGAGACTTCTTCATTTAATAAAGGTGAGTAAATGCAGCTTGGGTCATGAGAAATGATGAGCAAAGGATCCTCTCATTTATACCTACCTGCAGAAATCTTGCTAGGATGCAATGAAGATTTTTTATTATTATTATTATTATTTTTCCTCAGGAAAGACCAAGGACAGCAGTATAATAAATGATTCCCACCGTGCATGGGGATAGGTTATGCAGCCCTCTAGACCATAACAACTGGCCCTCCTCCAGTGACTGACTTCCACCATTTGCATGACTGCTTATTGATTTTTAAAGTTAGACGGGCCATATATATATAGATTAGATAAACACTTTGATAATGACCTCTGGCATTTTGGGGGGCTTTCACGGAAAGACTTATTTTTATTTTTATTTTATTATCCTGAGGTAAGGGGACAGTGGGGAAGTCCACAATTATTGTGCACTATAATTAGCAAGTTGGAAACTTGGGATTAATTTTCAATGTATCTTCCCAGGTATCAGACTGTACATACTGTGGATGCCAAGCTATGACTAAAGATGGGAATAGGAATGGGAAAAAAAAGTCAATACAACAAATGTATTGATTTTTCTTCTTGAAAATGACTTTTTAAAATGGCATGAACCAAGTCATTAAAGATATTTTCTAGAAGTCTTCTAAAGTTGCACATGGTTATTAATGTCTGGTTTGTAAGCATATAGTTCTGTAGATGTTTGCAGCCAACAGAATAGTAACTTTCCTCCAGTGTAGGAGTTCAGCTTGTCCAGCTGTGGGTGTCAATTTGTGTACATCTTCCAGCTCCTGGAAGACTATAGAGTGTATGTATGTCTGTCCTGCTCCTATGCTAGCTTATTAGTATCTTCACCCTGATTTTGTAACTTCTCTTATAATTTGCTAATTTTGCTCATTTTCTATGAGACTATTGAGTGAACTTTAAAAGCTGGTGCTTACTTACCTGTACCTTGTGCATTGCTGGTGGCGTGGATTTTTAGCCTGGTTTATTTCTGAGGATCTTCCATGTGCCCATCAGTAGTATAAAAATCCAGTTTTCAGTCAGTGCTGCTTTGTAGACATCCTCTTGGTTTTCTTCCTCATCCCGACAACTCTGCATGTACAGGACTGCAGATGCACTCATAGCTTAATAGCAGTTCCTGCAACTCAGTTCTTTATTCAGGAGAAAGTGAATGTTGTCTTTTCCCCCCACCTTTCCATTTTTCTGAGCCACAAAACAAAGGTGTCATTACTCTAACAAGCAGCTGGAGTCCGCTGTGCACTTCTCAGAGTGTACAGGCTCTATGTTATGTCGTAGATGCTTTTAAAATTGTGATGCCCCCTCTGACTTTATTTTCAAGCTACTGAAAAGGGAGCTACAACGGAGGAGCAGATGGCTGAACCGTAGCTTCTAGATAGAACAAGGGGCGCTCTCGGTGGCAGGGCTGTTTGCTCATTAACGGCTCAACCTTTGTGCAAAGCCTCGGTGCTCGCCTTCACGTACACTGCTAGTTCGGTGAGGATTTTCCCCTGGACATTTACCACGCCACAGCCTCCACCCACCATGGTCAGATCCGGTTCGGTGTCTGAGCTGTTGGTGCCCCAGACCCTGCCTGTACCGCCATGTGCGCCGATACACGTGTCCCACAGGCGGCCAGCCTGCCCCGCGCGTTCCCTCAGGCCGCGCCGCCGCTGCAGTGACGCAGGTTGCCCGGGGTGGAGGTCGCGGCGCGGCCATGCGCTGTCGCCGGGACGTTGTCTCCTCCCCTTTCGGCGCCATCTTCTGACGTCCGTGCGGCGTTGTTTGGCGGAGGGGCCTTCATGGCTATCTGTCAGTTCTTCCTGCAGGGCCGCTGCCGCTTCGGGGAGAGGTGCTGGAATGAGCATCCTCGCGGCGGCGCACGATACGGATCCTCTGCGACCTCCTACCAAGGTACTCCCGAACGCGGCGGCCTGCAGAGGCCTGCAGCCTCTGGCTTGCCCCGGTGCAGGGACTGACGTACTTGCTGAGGGCTCAGTGCTCGCCCCCCGGGGCCTGCTGCGGGGCTCCGTGCGGCTGGCGGGGCCTGGAAGCGGCCCCGCTCTTGCGGCTCTTGGCCTGAGCTGTCGGCGGTAGTGGCTGCGCTGGCGCTTCTGGGGTTGGGTCCTGGCGGAGATACCGCAAGTTGTGCCACGGGAACGGAGGAAATAGGCTAGTAACTCCGGAAACCTTGCTGGTAAGAACAGCGAGTGACTTTCCAGCACCTGCGCGTTGTACCCGTTGAAGAGTAGTTTAGTTCGGATGGGGTACGGAACTTTGGAAGCTTTTGGTACGCAAGAGACTTGATGGGGAGCAGACGGGTACAGTCTTGTTAGGGCAGTAAACAGGGCTGCCGTTGCTCATCACCTGCGGAAGGAGATCAGGAGTTGCCTGTTACACACACAAACGGATTCAGGGTCTCAAAACCTGACTTTGGAGGTCTTAGCTATGCACAGAGCCTCAGCTATAGCAGTGTAGGTAGGAGCCCCTACTGTAAAGGTACTGCGAGTTAAATTCATTCTTTTCCTTCTGGGGTAGTTACTTTATGGAACAACATGAGCAAAACTGGAATAGTCTCTTCTGCAGTGCTTTGTGTTGTTGGTATGGTGGTGTGAGGAATTCTTTACCTCTGATACCAGAACTAACCAGGGTAATTACTTAATAATCAGGTTAACTTATTAGGAAACAACCTACATTTTCCTTTCAAGCATCCGATTGCCACCATAAAATAATTATACTCACAATTTTTGTTGATGTTATATTGCTTAATACCGTAATGATTTTAAATTTCTGTTGTTTCTGTCTTTTAATTGGAAGGTACAAGCAGAGGAGGAGGAGGAGGATGGGGTAGCGCTAACCAGAGACACACTAATGTTATCCAGCCATCTACCTTTAAGTCTAATGTGTGGGGTGGCAGCAGAGATTATGGAAGAGGAATTTCTGCCTCCTCTGGCTTTGGATCATCGGGGAGCAGCAGCGGAAATGCGGACTTTTCACAGAACAGATACTCTGTATTAGTGAACAGTCAAAACGTTGCTGATGGCTACAAGGATGAAGAGGAGAGACTTCTGTAAGTTATAGTCCTGTCTTACTGAAAACATTTATAATGAGCAGTTTTAAAGCTTACTGACTTACTAGAAATACTGTGTGTAGAGGACATGATTGTGAGGAAGAAAGTGGGATGTGTAAAAAGAACCATAGAAAACACTGCTCCAGTTTGGTTCTCCTGAGTTACGCAGGCATGGGAAGAAAGCAATCCTTGTTTTGAACCTGGATTGGGCATCCGGACAGCTGCATATTAGTAAGGTGTTTAGGTTGTGGGCAGGAAGATAAGGAAGGAAACAAAGATGTCAGTACTTAAGGGGTCAGAGCCCCTTGGACAGCATCTCAACCATTAAAAAAACAAAGCACAACACTGAGAAAATGAACGATTTGACTTAGTTTTCCTGACAATTAAGATAACAAATTGTTCTGCCGGTAGTAAAACTATTGAAACTTGGTTTCGCATGCATCTATTTTTGAGTCAGTTGAGAGTGACTGGGAGGTTCAAGATGATTACAGGACAGGTGATGAGAAGCAACAGGCAATGTTGCTGACTTCCTGAAGAAGCAAGGTTTTGGAACCACTTTCCGTTGTATTTTAAGATACATTAAGAAAATGCTTAACAGGTTATTTATTCACTTTCTCAAACGTGAATGTATGTAGGGTTACAAACATCCGAAATACTTAGAATCTTTGTTACCGTGTAACGATCTGCTTGTCCAATTTCAGTTTTTCAGCCGTTCATTATTTGTTTACATTTGGATTTACTTTTGCTGATGTAGCTTCTATTTTGCAATGTCTGGATTATTACACTTTTGATTCTTTTCCAAAAACTTGTATAGAACACATCACTTTCCCTTTTTTCTTTTTTTTTTTTTCCTGAATTTTGCTATTTAATAATGTGCATACTCATCTATATTGCAAAATCAAACAGTATTGAGAAGATTTTAAATTCTGTTGTGATTTACAGTTTCAGGGAAATTCTGTGACATCATCTGCTGTACAAGAACTAAAAATACATTGCCTGTTTTGGGATTTATTTTTTCTTCTTTTAAAATGCTGTTTGATTTACTTGCAGTCAGATGATAAAGAAAATGCTTTGTAGGAACATTTATGTATCTTGCCACATAAGTGCTTTTTTTTTCCTTCAGACAACTGAGTACTTCTCTTGTTCATTCCAACTAGTGTCTTTCTTCATTAATTTTCATGGCAGCAGGTATTTGAATCTGGTTTTGGATTTAAACCAGGCAGTTGCTTCTGGTAGTATTGTTTTGACCATATATTTTCACCTTCAGCTGTGTTTTTATTTTGTTTTCTAGTGAAAGTGTAGTGAAAGATATGGAAACTTGGGAATCTTCAGGACAATGGATATTTTCATCATATTCACCAGTGAAAGAAAAGCTGAATGTCTCAGGTAATATTTTTAGTGCTGCTAGGTATTGCTGCTGTTTAGGATTTTTCTTACACTTGTTGTTAGCTGTTGTACCTCTGCAGAACCATTTTCAAGGTGATGATTTGCTTTGTGGTAAAATAGAAAGGAATGTTGGATTATGGCGAGCTCATTTTGGACATTCACATATTTGAGGTTCTGTAATGCATCCTTTTTGTGTCCTCAGCTATGACTGACTTATTACAGATAATGTACCATGGCCCATTTCTTCATACCTATCGAGGAGCTGCCCTCAGTATTTTCTTGGGAGAGGTTTTTAATTATCCTTTTCTTACAGGCTTTCGAGATATCTCACCAGAAGAGTTGCATCTGGAGTATTATAACTGCAGAGCAAACAATGACATTCAGAACTATGTGAGTATTTTAAAAATGCTGACTTGTGTAGACACATTTTGGGGTAGGACTTGTTACTGTTCTTTGGGTGGCAGCTCTCGACTCATTTAATTAACAAACTAGCAGATTATGAGAATGCCAAAATGTTTTTAAATTACTGAGCACCAAATAGAATGCGAAAATAGCTGCTGGTCTGTATGCCCTACTGTAACTTCCTATTTCTGTCTGACAGCACAGGCTTAAACTGTCAGATCTGAGCTTCTGAAACTTGTGGCCTAGTGTCTTGACACATCAGCTCTTACAGGAAGTGGTGGCAATAGACTTTTAGCTAGTTTCAGATAAGTGTGTGGTCTATTCTCAGTCTAGACATTCCTTGACTTAGTCTTGTCCCTGCTCTTGTGTGTTATTTGTAGAATTCACTTGAATACTGTCTCAAAAGTTTGATACTGCATATGCTGTTAGTCAGTTTGATTGTTATAGCTGGTTATATAGTGCTGTAGGTAGAACACAGGGAAGTTTATTTGATCTTGTTATTTTACATACCTCTGTTGCAGGAGGTTAATGCTAAAAATAGCAAATACTTCTTTAAAGGAGTATAAACGTTTCTAGAAAAGAATTAATACATATGTTTTTATATTAAGGTCCTTTCCAACCCTAACTGTTCTATGATTCTATAAGTGTATTTAAATTTATATGTATTGTGCCTCCCTCATAGTCCCATCAATATCAAGGAAGCTAGCAGAGTTTAATGTTGTGCTAGGAAAGGAATTAGGCTACTGAACAGATGAAAGTACAAACTAACTCAAGCTACACTGCACTCTTTCCTCTTCTCCATGGTTCTGTATTACAGAAGGAATTGCTGTTGTCACCGCTCTTGCTTCATGTGTTTAGAATTACCAAAGTTGCATTTTCAGAGACAGGAGATAAAGCTAAAAAAAACCAACCCAACAACAAACCTTCAATTAAAATGAACTGCAATGATTAACCAGTACACTCTGCCTGGCTGTTAGAAAGCAGAAATTTGTGGTCTTATTGAAGCACTAAGTGCAAGTCTCAATGTGTAGTTGACAACTGCATGATACAATTCTCTTACAAAATGTTTTAAGTACAACATGTCTTTTACAAAGCATGTTTCTATTCTTAATCTGGGTCAGAATCTAAATTTTCCAGTCTGTTGTGCAAGAGCTGATACCAAGCAATATGATCTTCCAGCATGTGATTAGACACAAAAGAATTATTGATGTTTGTGTTGTAAGATTGTTTTGAAAAATTAAGGAATTCATTTACAAAAAGATAACTTGTTCCACTCTTACAGGCATTTAGGACACTCTTCTGTTTTATTGTTTATTTTTTAAGGACAAGCTTTGTATTATTGTTTAGTTTTTAGGCCAAGCTTTGAATAAGGTGTGTTGATAAATTTAAATATAGGAAATTCAGGTTTGAAATTCTTGGAAAGTTACTTCTAAGACATTCCAGATTCTTGTTTAATACTCTCATCATAGTTACCAAAACATAGGCACTATTTATTGCTAGCATATATTCTGTGCATTAGTCAGTTGGATTATATGAAATGGGCTGATTTAAATTAACGACTTAAAATATTCAGCTTTGCAAAATTTAAGGTTGGTTCTATTAAAGCGTTTAAATTACAATATTATGAAAGTGAGTGGGGGGGGTTCTGAAAATGTGGGAGAAGCTAAAGCAAACCTTAGGACTTCAGCTTAATGAGCGAGTACGTAAGCGTACAGGCCAGAATTAAAGCAAGGATTGAAAAGTTTCTTCACATATGTTTAAAATTTACATATTTAGTGTGTGGTTTGTTGTTTGGTTTTTTTTCTCCCCCAAGCGCCTAATAGAGCTAGTGATAGAACTTAGATTTAGAAAGTCCCAGATTTTTTTGTAATCATACTGCTATGTAAAGAAAGTTGATTTAAGGGCAATAGTAAGAGAATTTAAAGGACTTCTGTGTTAATAACAAATATTGCAGCTCCTCACCTTGAAGTTTCAGGAAAGCAAAAAATCTTTGTCTTCTTGGCTTAACAAAATTTCTGGACATTTTCTTTCAGTTCAGTTGTCAGGTCACTCTTATTTTCTTTTTTATCAAGTCTTCACCACTAATAAAAACATGCTTTTCTTTTCCCCCTTTTTAGATAAATTCTGTCCAACAGTTAGCAGACCAATGGAAAACTCGGCTGCTTCAGTTGAAAGTTTTAAATGCATCAACAAAAGCAGCCTTGGTAAGTCTTAATGAAAGGTAAAATGTATCTGTTCCTGATGTCATCTTTTTTATTAATCTTGGGCAAATGTGGTTGGTTTAGATTCATGTTTTTTTAGACACATCCTACTAAACTGTCCTGCAAATTAGCATTTGCATTTTAATTTCTGCTAGAAAGATATCTAAGACATGGTAGTTGGAATATGCCACTTTTTTTTAATAAAGAAAACTTGTTAATATTCCATAGAATCAAAGTATTTAACTATGCTTCTACTACCTCTATAGAAATAGGTAATAGGTATTGCTTTGAAGATTGCAGGATACTCTTTCACAACTACATATACATGATTCTCCTAGGGCATCCTTGTTTGCACCTAAGTAGCCAAGACATGAGAGTGTCTAATTCCGGCATTCACTGGCAATTTTATGGTAGATCTGTAAACTGTTCTGAAAATGTCAACTATGATGTGTTACATTATGGTACTGCAGCCTTGAAAAAGCACTTGGTGTGAAAGTGTTCGGTGACTGGTGGCATGAAGACCTTGACAGTAATCTGAGAATGCTCCTGGGAACGTTAGAGAAGGTGGAAAGGGTGTAAGACGGAATTACGTAAGAAAATAATAATTGCAATTTGAAAACTGCCCCATGTGTCCATCTGTGTAATTTTATAGGCAATAGGAACATGACTGAATATTCTAGCACTGCCTGAGCCAGTGAACATGAAAGTCTGTGAATCCAGTTTTGAGTCTTAACTCCACCTTTCTCTGGAGTTATGAAATTGGTGAATTTCAGGCAAGTATTGTATAAGCCATTAGTTAAGTAGGGAAAACGGTGAGTCAGGAGGGTTCCATGTTAGCAAGGCAGCAGCTGCATCTCCAGGTTTGAAATACTATCATTGCAAGCCACATGAAAGCAGCCATAGCTTAAGGTTGGGATCTGATCATGTAGATGTACAGTAAGAGGCTCATATCTACCCCACCATTTTTTCCATGTGCTGATTTTGACTATTCTAAGGTATAATCAGCAGACCAGACCAGAATTGTCCTCCAGGCCATCTTAGGAGAAATAGGGCATTTTGGTAATGCCAGAATGAGAAATTGATAGGAGGTGGGAAAGAAACTATATAAAATTTGGAGATACAAAGAGTCATTGGTCCTGAGAAGGTGATACACTTGCATGAATCTAGATGTGTCAGAAGAGAATACTGGGGTTAAAGGCAGTATTAAATAGCCAGGGGGACAGAATAGGTTGATTTAAGTGGAATATGCAGGATATGCCTGAAGTTTCTGTAGTATGATCACACTGCCTTGATATTTTCAATGCTGAAGGTGAAAGAAGCAAGGTGAGAGAACAGAGTAAGTCGAAACAATGACATAGGGTCATAAAGCACTTTGCTGAAATAGGTAAAAGATGGGAACAAGAACTCAAAAGAAGTGTTTGAGTCACTGTCTGACAGAAAAAAAAAAAGCCTATAAACTGTAATATATTTGTGTTTCTGGAGTGGTTTAGAGAGAATACTGTATAGGCGCAGAGCATTTTGTTGATCGCTGCAAGAGCATGTGATTATGATGGAAGTCTTCAGTGTCTTAACAGTCTAAGTTGTATTAAGTTGGACTAGGCAACTATATTTTTGCTTCAAGTATTCATTAAAAGACATTTCCCTGTTTTGGAATCTTATTTTCATTTATGTATTTGTAATTTTTTAAGCTATCCGAACTAAAGAACACAGTCACTCAATCATTGCCTGCCTTTGGATTTGGAGGACAGCAGTCATTGAGCTTCGGGTCGTCAAGTAAGTCCCTGCATTAAGAGCCAACAGTTAAACATTTTCTTGAGTTTTTCTTCTGCATTATTGAAATATAGCAGTGGTTAGTTCCACAGTTGTGCTCATTCTAACTTTTTTTTTTTTAATCAACTTCATAATTGCAGGCTTTCCTGTGAGCAGCAGCAGTAGCAGTGTTAGCAGTTTCTCCTTTAAAACAAGTTCCGGTCTCGGCAGTGCATCGTCTGGAAACACCCCTGCTTTTGGGAGCTCTTCTGCTGGTTGTAATCCTCCTGCATTTGGTGCGACATCCTCTGTTAGTGTATCCCAGTCTGCTGGTTTTGGCAGCCCAGCAGCTCCGTCTGCAGCGTCCTTCTCATTTAAAACTTCTGAAACAACTAGTGGTTTTGGAACTTCCGGGTTTTCAGGGTCTGGCACTACTTCTGCTGTGAGCTCTTCAAACATCACTCCACCTAAAGCCTTTGGAGATTTTAGTGCACCAGTAGCAACTTCTTCCTCACATTCAAGCAATACTCTATTTGGACAGACTGCCAGTGCCTCTGGACAGACCTTAATGTCAGAGCCTTCTGCAGTCACAAACAGTACTTCATCAGAAAAGTTATTTACACCAAAGAGCGAGCTGTCAGCTGAAGAGTTGAAACAATTTGAAGCAAAAAGGTTTACAATTGGAAAGATTCCTCTTAAGCCACCACCATTAGAACTCTTACATATTTAGAACTTTTTAAGTTTATTCTGAAATTACATGGTTTTGTTACTTCTCTGATACCTCATTACACCACTTTGTGATTGAACAATGAAATAGAGTAAATCCAGCTGTAACCAGACTTGAGTTTTTGTTTCTTCTCCATGTTTTCTGCAGTGATAAACTCAGAGGTACAAACATTTCAACACTATTTTATAGTTTCTTCGTTATTTTGGAATGTACCTTTTACATCCCAATAAATGAACTAATGAACATTTTAAGTTCCCTTTTATATTCTGTACTGTGAAATTCTGGTCAAAAACTATATTAAGAAGGCTTTGTCAAAAGTATGAGTGCTTTGGTGAGATATTCACAGTCTACTGTGGATAGAATGCTAGAAAGAATCAGCTGCACTGCCAGACTGCTTGTTATTGGACCATTTTGTCATTTGCCTCTTACTTGGTGCAGCTTTTGACAACTGTGTTTAGAGAGAGGGCTCCCATGTGGTCTCCACCCAGCTACATCTTCCTTGCACCCAGGAGTCAGTTACCTGTCCCAGCTGATCTAGTTCAGCTAGCATTAGCTGTTCTGCTTCAGGTCATAATGCACACATTAGTGTAATACAGTTGGGGGAGGACAGCCTTGAAACCATCATGAATAAGAGCTTGTGGTTTGCTATTTTGCCACCTCTTTGGTCAAACTTGGCAAGCAATTGTAAAATGATGCACTACACGTATGTGAATTGAGAACCAGACAACAAAAATCTGTCAAAATTGATGGGTGCTTATATTGGCATTAGTGATATCTTGCCTAGATGCTATAAAGCAGGGGTCAGAAATTTTGTAGAGGAGGTACAGAGCCAGGTGAAGAGAACATTTGTTCTTGATCAGGGCCCTCCCAGTAGCAGTTTAAAATTACTAAACCTCACCAGTGGTTTAAAATCACTAAACCTCAAGAGGAAAGCAAGATTTTTCCCCAGGATCTACATAAATAAATTGATTGTCCCTTTCACACTTGAAGATAACTTTTCAGTTCTTGCTATGGACCCTGTGGTCCTAGTTAAGACTTTGCAATATCTATGCTTCCTACCAAAGGTCCATAGCGCTAAGATAGTGTGAATTAATTTAACTTTTAGAATGATAGGCCATGTGTGGGTGCTGCAGGTGTCATAGAAATCCAGGTGCCTCAGTCCACATGCTCAGTGTAGGTGTTATGCTACAGTACTGGGTTGTTTATATGAATTTTTCTGGCAATTGTTTTGTAAATGAAAGAAAGCATCTGGTTTTTATTGTTGTTAATGACCTGGGGCAGGCTTCCTGCAGCTCACAAACAAAATACTGATACACTGGCCCAGAGCTCCATTTAATTCTTATGAAATGTATTTCCAAGTGGGATCTCCAGAGCAGTAGTAAGACTCATACAAACTAAGACAGGTACATCTGCCAGGGCTCACTCAGCTTACCTGCATTTTGACACACGAACCGAGGACCATACCAAAATCTGTATTTGCAGAAATCCCCTGTCTTTATAGAAGTCGTTAAACTCCCTTTTGTAAACATTTATTTAACAACAAACAAATACGTTTGTGGCTTGTCAGATGAATTCCATCACTGCATGAGCTCATCCTATTACACACTACATACACTTTCCCCTATTTCATTTGTGAAGCTTTAGTGATTCTCCAACCCAGTTGTACCAGAAAGCTACCATGATTTTTAAAGTTCCTGTAATTTTTGTTACATAAAACCAGCATTCTAATGTGGCAAGAGTATATTTTAGGGTAAAAGTACAGAATTAAGCATTGCTGATGAACCTGAAGGATCCCTTGGCATGTTTTAGAGGACTGTGGATGGTTTTGCCTTACATGTAAAGTAGGAATAATTTTGAAGTCACCTGTGCTGTTTTCTCCTGACCTTTTATTCCTAATGACCATTCTCTTAAATGACTACTTTAACAAAGAAAGAGAGGAACAGTCTAAGTCCCAGTTAAGGACAGACTACTAGTGAATGCACAGGCTAAGTTGAAGTGTCTTTATGCATAAGCCCACTGCAAGATTTTTGAGCTGCTGTACCTCACTGCTGCTGCTGTGTTACACAAGAGCTTAAAGCAGTTTGCTTTTGAAGTGATGAACTGAAGCCTTTGGTCTTTCTTCAGAGTAGCTCAGTAGGCCATTGCTGTTAAGATGTGCCAAGAGCTTTCAAGGCTCAAAATGTGCAAGAGATTTTTTAAGTGGAAGAACTTAAAAACTATAGGGCCATAAAAAAATCTGGATAATCTACTGTACATGCCCAGAAGAACACTGCCAGATCTTCTCAAACATGATTCCAACCTACAGCAGAGAAGATAACTTCGAAGTCTTGTGTCACACTGCAATTAAGAAATAGAATCACAGAATGGTTTGTGTCGGAAGGGACCTTAAAGCTCATCCAGTTCCAACCCTCTGCCCTGGGCAGGGACAACTTCCACTGGAGCAGGTTGCTCCAGGCCCCAGTCCAACCTGGCCTTGAGCACTGCCAGGGATGGGGCAGCCACAGCTTCTCTGGGCACCCTGTGCCAGCGCCTCAGCACCCTCACAGCAAGGGAGGTTTTCCCAATTTAGGTAACAATAAATAAAAACTTTTTTTTTAAAGGCATCTTTTTTACTCACCCTCAAAAAAGAAAAAAATAGTAAATTGCTATTGCAGAGATACTGAGAGTCGGTGTTTTCATCCCAAATGGGCTTCTGACCATCTCAAAAGATGGCAGAGAGCAGTGTGATGCGACTTAGCTAGCAAAAGGCAAGCTGTGTCCTCTACTGCAGAAGTAGAGATAAGGATAGGATAGAACAGGAAGAAATGGTATTGTTCTAGTGGGCTTACTAAGCTGCAGAAAATAAGCAACAATTTGTCAGTAGATCAAAGCAATCTTTCCCAACATTTGTACCATATTTCCTTTTTTGTTGCTGTTCTGCTGTTCATCCTGTTCTGCTTTTGGTATGTTTGATATCAAAGTTGCTTGCAAGTACAAAGGCGGCTAAATAATATCTTCCTTTTAGCTACAATCCTTTCATTTTTCTTAACTTTTCCTTTTTGCAACTGCTTTTTTGTTTGACATATGGCTGCTTTCCAGAAAGTCATAATACGCTGGTCTGGCATATAAAAACACATATGAGGTGGCAGCAAACTCACAGATCTCACTTACTGTACTTCATTTTAGAGCAGGAAACAGGAGATGAACGTCCAAGCAAAGAGGTGTAATGTGTCCCGATTAGTACAACATGGTCTGTGAAATGGGCTAGAACATTCAAGCTCCATGTGATATTTTCAAGTACTTCCTTTACTTTGAAATAACAGGATTTATGAGTCACTGAAATTCCTGTGGTGTGGTACCAACAATTAATTTGAAGAATGATTTGAAGTTTTGGTTTCCAAGAGATCCTGGATTAATCCTCAGGCAGCAGCACTTGAGACTGGCTGCATGCAAGAGGAAAACCCTCCACTACCCCAGCAAAGGAAGCATCCCAATATCTAGCAAAGGGAATTTTCTCTGCCTTTTTTTCCTCCAGGTGATAGTAGCAGCACTGGGGGATCTCAAAATACAAGCTGGTAGCAGAGAAGAGAGGAAGAAGGGAAACAAGCCTCAGAAAGCATTACAGTTCTGTCTTAAATATCATAGTGACCCTGTGCTCTGTAGTTTCACTACATGCAGCAGAAAGTGGCAAGGCAGCCTTACGTTGAAGAAAGATGAACTGCAAATAAGCTTCAGAGAATAAAGCTAAGGGCATTGACAACAATAAATTAACCACAGCCAGCATGATAAGGAAAGAAGAGCTTTCACAAACGTGTCTGGAGGGAAAGGAATACAAAAAGGCCTATTAATACAGAAGCACTGAATTGATATTGATAACTCTGAAATGGAGGAAATCTATTTAAAAATACTTGGAATGAGGGGCAGTTGAAAATCAATAAGGATGAAATGCAGCAGCTGATAAAAGGCAAGAAAGAAAATATTTGTGAAATGTGAGCTTACTGCAGCACAGCAGGAGTCCAGATAATCTACTGTATGGGTCAGCAAGGGAATCAGCTAATGGACTTGCTGTAGTTCTGGTAATTATTCAGATACGTGATAGAGCACCAGGGGTGTGCTAGCAGACTGGGGAAGTAATATATCTTAGCAAGAAAAGGTACTTGTTCTGCTGATGGTTACAAACACTTTCAGAAGATTCTAAAGACATCATCTGATAGCAGAGATGTAGATCATCTGTATCAAATGCCTTACTGAAAGGTAAGGCATTTGATACAGGCATTTACAAGGTGAAGGATGTTAGCAGTGATTAGGGTTAGTGATTAGCCAGAAACACTGACAACTAAGTGAACACTTTTTGTTTATACTCCATCTAATGTCCTGATATAGGGTAGAGAGAAACTAATCTGATATTTACCTGGCCCATAGAGGAGGAAGAAAGCCATAGGTAGTGTTTAGATAATATGAGTACATATCTACTTGTATTTGAGCTCATATACAACAGCTGAAGATAAAAATTAGACTGCTGGTATTCAGAAAGACAGAAAACTGTAGAATTGAGAAGTACCAGCAGTGAGATATGAAGCCACCGTGGCTTAGATCAGTATAATGTAGTTTGAGCTCTAGGAATCTCCTACAGCTGTGCTAATGCTGTGCTTGGTTCTGAGCACACAGTTGCCAGAGCTGCATGATGAGTAGATGGAGATTCAGAGGTAAGGCAGAACAATTGGAAATGAGGATTTAGGCAGAAAATTCAGAGCTGAATAATTACTGCTTGGTGAAAGCATTGGCTGTGGGATGGAATGACTGACTTATTGAAAGGGTACCCTCTCAGAAAGGAGGAAATGGGAAACTAGTAACCAGAATATTGTGGTACTTCCTAGGAGGTGTCTGGAACAGGAAGTTTCCCACCTGGGAAAGTCCTTTTCTTCCTCTGTTAAAATCTGGCCATGTCAAAACCAAAACACTAGGAACAAATCCCTACCTGTCAGGACTAATACTTCATGTCCTCAGAGCTGCAACAGCAGTCAACACAAGTAGATCTGATCCCTTGTCTTTGAACCAAAACACACAAGCACAACAGTGTAATGCTGAGCATCTGGGGCAGGCAGCTCTATGTGCCTGCCACCTCTCCTGGCAATGATTTAGGAGGCTAGCCATAAAAAGAGAACCTCTCTCTCTTGAGTTTAAAGAGGCAGATAATGACCCTAGCACTAGGAGTGAATATGGTGGGACTTGGCCTCCTGCACAAGAGCAAAACCAGACCATAAAATGGAGGGAAGAAGAGCAAGAACAACAGGATTTAAATGCCAGCAGGCTGATCAACAGTTTTGCTTGGGTATGCAGACTGCTTTGTCTTTCCTCCACAGGCAGTAGGGCTTGTTCTTACCATACCACATGAGAGACATAAGAAACAAGTTTTATGTCTTGCCCTTTCCAGCAGGCAGATCTGTTATGTTGCTAGCTACATAGGACTCATCTGAAATGTGATCTGGTGGTTTTAAAGTACCTGCAGCAATTATATCCTGTTCCACCTGAATTTCTGTTTCCTTATAGCAGTCCGCTCTTAGCAAACTAAATGCTTTCTAGTCAGCACTGAGTCATGCTTCTGTGAGTCTTCATGGAGCCTTACCTAATCAAATCACATGAATTGTGCCCATTGCATATGCCCTGCAAAGTAATTCTATGAGTTCTAACTATACAAAATAAACATGCCCTCTTCCATGAATCAAACAGGATTCATTTGTGTGTGTGCATGTAGAGCTATGTTTCGCATCCCTTTAAAGGGAAACTAAAGATGTGCAGTTTTGATCTCCAGTAGCTTAGCTTTTCATCTAACCAGTGCTGTTGTGTTTTTCTCTGCCTGACGAGTATCTGTACATCTCTGCCTTGTGATGCACTTCAGTATTAAAGCATTCTTCATAGGCACATGAGATTTTAGTTTCGTAGCTTACTTCTGCAATTATGGGCTTTGCCTGAGGTATCTGTGATGATGAAATAATATAGAACTGAAACAGCAGTTTATAACCATGGGCTGCGTTTTTAAAAAGAAGCCTGGTATCACTGCTTCTGTGTGATAAACGGACAGTCTGTGAGGTGGAGAAGAACCCTCTGTATCCAGTATACATTAAGTCTTTTGGGCAAGAGAGCCTTTAGTGCTCTCCCATGGCCCTTTACTCAGCAGCTCCCATGTGGCTGGGGATCAACAGGCCTTTGCAAAGCTTGAACTTCACAGTAGGAACTTGGCATAGCATAAAAGAGAGACCCGGCCTGCAGGCAGATCTGCTGCCTCAGGATAAGGCTGTCTCACAAGTTACTGTAGATCCTCCTGCCTGGAGTCTGCTTCAGACATCTCTGTCTCTTATCTAACTTACCTGACTTCCTAGAGCCTGATGCCTTTACCTGCTGCCCTGCCTGCCTCCCACTCCCCCCAAGTTCCATGGTCACCTGCTTTTGTATACCAGGGGACACAACTCCTTTGGCCTCCCCATGCAGGTTTTGCGGAGGGAAATGGCCACCAGAACCCTCTCCTCTCCAGGGGTCTGCGCCTCTTCCTGAAGCCTACATGGGAATTCACATGGCAGTGCACACAACACCGGTGACCCTGTTGGGACACAGGATTCATGAACTGAGACACCTACAAGCCAGCCTGAGAGCACAAGGAGAGCTGTACATCAGAGGTAGGTGCTGATACAGCTCCAGCGTCTTTCCAGCCTATGTTGTTTCAGGCTTCTGTCCCATTAGTGCCCTTTACTCACACATTCAAACTCTGTATCTCACAAGATTTTTAGCAAAATAAAACCCCTTTAACCTTCAATCATCTTCTAAAAGCACTGGTCGGCTCCTCCCACCTCTTCTTCCCTGTACTTCCTTCCTGTACTTCTCAGGACCACAACTACAAACCCAGAGATAGCAAAGCTCCCCTCCACCCCTGACAAGAGTGCTTCTGGTTCTACAGATGTTTGCCTGAAACAGGTCAGAAAGCTTCTTTTCTCCTCAAGAATATTCTCTCTATATATATATACACACACCTTCCTGTCTGGCTTGTCCTCTGGTCCCCACACATCAGCAGGAAGCACGCTACAGGGATGGTCTCTATCCCAAGCTATGCAGTGGAGGCAGAGGCAGCACCAGGATTTTATCATCCCTCAGGTGTCCAACCAGGGAAGGAGGAAGCACCTCTGGGCCTCCACACAGCAATGACTGCAGTCTGTCTGCTGACAGTTGCCTCATTGACTGTACCTGCTAACAATCAGATTAACTTTCTCCTGTTTTTCCCTTCCGATCAATGCTGTACGGAGGATAAGGAAGAAAAAAAGGGTGGGGGCAGACAGATGTCCACAAAGTACTTAGGCAAGTTTGCTGACGTCCATGATACCGTCAGAGGAAAAGGCCTGGACATCCCAACTTCAGGTTATGTGGTTGAATCACAAGTCCATCCTTTTCACAGTAAAGCCAGAGAGTAATGCCTATCAAAGAGCATATATTATAGAAGTAACACAAGCAATATAAGTTAATTCTTGCAGCAGGAAATACCTCTGGTTGCCAATACTGAGGTAACCAAATTATGTTGGACATCTGGTAACATTCATATAGGGCTGTCTTATCTGTGCTGATAAAATAGGGGACTCTCACTGGCCTTTTTTTCCTCTGTTTATCTAATTTCAGTTTGGAAAAATATCAGATAACACTGAAGAGATTAGCAGAGTGCCTCAATATTAAATACAGTACTGGATAACAAACAAATAAATGTACACAAGGCGCTTCTTGATCACAGCTGCAACAAACCGGTTCAGGCAGCAAAGAGGTTTTCTCTGACTTAAGTGGTCACTGGACAGACTCCATCCTTATGATGATCTACTTTGAGAAGGTTTAATCTTCCAACAATAACAGAAACAGTCACAAACAGAGGGAGTCCTACAGGGTTACTAAGGAATACATGAGAACTATATGGTGAGGCTTTGTTGTCCTTAAAAGCCTGTTGGGGGGGAGGGGGCTGTAATTTATAGCTATGCATCCTAGATGATTTACTTAGGGCTCTGTATATATTGCAGCACTTGGTGTACAGGAAGAGGAAATACATTGCTTTTACAGCATCCCCGCTCTGACACAAGGTCTGTGGTGTTTCAAGAGCCAGAGGACTGAACAGCCAAGCCACTCAGCTCTCACAGACCCTCAGTGTGGACCCATCTCTACAAAAGATGCCCCAGAGCTGTGATGCTGGCCATAGCCCATCTAAAAAATGTCCCTATGGAAGCAGGACCTCCAAATGGCAACTCAAATTTCTGGCACAGCGCACAGGAGCCAGAAAACTGCTAAAGTCCAATTCATGGTGTTTTGTGGTTTATATTCAAATTACTCAATTTTAGCAGGTTTCCTAAGAAAATAACATGGTTTTGATTATACTCTCTGATCATTTGTCTGTGATTCCTTCTGCACCAGTCACTTCTTTTTCACCCCATGGCCAACTGCCAGGTGCTTAAGTCTCCAAGATGACTATATTCTCATGGCTGTAGTATGAATTGGCAGCAGGATGAGGAAGGAGACCAAAATTAGTGTTGCAACTGAAAGAAAAACAGGCAAAGCTCAGCTGCTAGGAGTGCTGTTAGCAACTGGCTTGACTGATCAGCACACGTGTAAATCTAGGATCTAGTCTGCCAGACTTCTGGCTCACTGGAGTATTACAGAGGACAAAGGGCTGTTGAGAGGAAGTTTCACACACACATTCCATGGGTCAAAACCAACTTGTTTCAAATATCAAAGCAAACTTCTTCTGTGTTCAAACATGAAGTTGACCCAGAAACAAGGAGCAATGCAGTGTAAGTTTAGATACAACAAAGAACTGAGGCTCCTAACTTCACACCGATTGCTAACTCACTGCTGGTTTCATACTTAATTGAAATTAAGTAAATTATCCATGATCCAAGATCAGTTCTGGTGGGTCCCAAGCCTCATCATTCCTAGGCTCCCACTACTGTAGGACCTTCCAGCCTCCCAGAGCTCATGGGGGAAACAGGATCATTGCAGAAGAGCTGCTACAATGAAACAGATACCGTGAGCGATCCATTAAATGAAACTGGAAATAACAATCTAACTAAGACAACTATTAACATATATTTTGTCTTCTGGCCAGCTTCTAGCAATAATTGTTCACTAACCCATTACTGTATCCCTACTGTGTGACACACTGCATTGCCTTTGGCAGAGAATACCATTTATGCCAAAACACATGAAGATTTTTCAAGACATTTCACATATCCTCAGATTATTTTAAAGAAAGTACTGGTGATGAATATCAGCTGAGGATATTTACAGCATATTCATTCATTCATATTATAACCTTAACCCTAACAAAACTTACTCCGTAAGGCTTAGGGTACAGGAGAGCCTGAATGTGAATGAACTGAGATGATTGTGAGATGTTTTTCCACCGCACATGGCAGACTCAAGAAGCCCAAACAGCCACTGACTCCCACTGTTCAAACTGGAGATACTTGACCATGCATCAGTATATGCAGCCTCCTTTACTTTGCAAGGCACTCACTGCCCCCAAAAAGGATCCAAAACATTCAAGACAACCCAGGTCTAAGTAAGAATATTCAAACTCACCAGTAGAAGGAAGCTTGGGCAGACTCCAGAGCACTGCTCTGATGGGCTTTCCACTGAACCAGTAACCACATCCCATGTAACTTAACATAGCTTCTATGTCTTTATATACTATCATCTCCAGATGGTGACCTCTTATAGATATCATACAAGGCTTGATAAGGTTTTTGAAACAGTCAGAAAAGACTTCCCCTGTTCAAGCACAGACAAACAGAAAGAGAAGAGCAAAAAAAAACACTAGATCAAACTTTCAGCCCTATTGTGTAGCTCCTAGAATACCTGCCACTGCCACGGTTCATCTTAATTGTTTCAGCTGCAGCCCATTGCAGCCTGAGAGGGTGAGAGCAAGGAAGCAGGTGTTGAGAAGTCCCTTACAATGATAACATGTAAAGGATGACTGTACAAGTTTGCTTGGGTCCCTAGCAGAGGATTGCACCTCCATGCACCTTCTCCTCTCTGAGAGCATAGATTCCACTGAGGTTTGTCCCCTGGATCACCAAAGCACTATCCTGATCACACGAAAAAAGGTGTAAGCTTGCTATTTATTCTCTGCTGCCACACTCTTTTCCTGCTTCCCTGGTGTTGCTACCTGCATTGGCCAAGTTGGAAGCTGCCAAAGATTAGCTGCTGCCCCTATGGCTACCAGAAGAGCTTGAATTAATACATGAGCAACCTCTGCTTGTGACCAATGAATTACACAGATAATAGGGAAGTAATAAGGAGGGTTGTCTTTATCCAGGGCACAAAACTGGTATGGTAGATAGAAGACCGGCTGAGCCAAGGCCGTACTGTAGAACTGCAAGAGCACATGCGAACACTCCAGCAATATTGGCACTTGGCTGCCTGGATGATCATTACATGGTCATGAAATGCTCAGCACAAAGCAGTGATAGCTGATTATGCCCACTAAATACTGCTGTAGTACTAATGCTAAGTGGTTCTATTAGCAAGTTTGTTTTGCCAGTTCTTAATTACAGAGAAACCTGGGAAGATACAAACATCAAAGGAGCCCTCTTACCTAGTCAGTTAAGTCTTGTCTTTATTCCTAATACATTTTAAATTCCTCACCCTGTTAAGTTTGGAAACATGCTATAGGCCTCTGGGATTTAAACCAATACATGCTTATTTGGAGACTTTAAGGATAAATTAAAGGTTATGTAGACTGATACAAAAATGCTTCCTTTCAGTGATTTGCAGGTATGAAAGAGAGAATTAAATACCTGGCCTCGTTTCAGCTGTAACAGTTGGGAGTTCTTTTTCTCCTTCCTAGTAGCTGGTGCAGTGCTGTGGTTTTGACTTTAGCCTGGGAACAGTGCTGATAACACACTGATGTTTCAGTTGCTGCTCGGTAGTGCTTACCCTGATAATAGACTTTCCAGTCTCATGCTCTGCCAGTGAAGAGGGGCATGGGAAGCCATGAGGAAGCAGAACCATGACACCTGACCCAAAGCAGCCAAAGGGGTATTCCATAGCAGAGCACATCATGCCCAGTCTATAAACTGAGGGGAGTCAGCCAGAAGGCTCAGATCACTGCTGGGGTTGGGCTGGGTATAGCTCAGCTGGTGATGAGCAACTGTATTGTGCATCACTTATGTTTATTGGTTTTTCCCTTTCCCGTTTAGTTTTATATTCTCTCCCCTTGTTATTTCCCTTATAATTAATATTATTATTAGTAGTAGTAGTTTTATATTATACTAAAGTTATTGGACATGGGGTTTACATTCTTTAAGTTCTTCTCCCCATGCTGGAGGGGAGGGTGGAAGAAGGGTGGTGAGTGAATGGCTGCTTGGTGCTGACAATACCCTCTGGCCTCCCAGACTGTCCACTATAATTCCCAAGGCCAGCAATTTTTGAACTGCATTTAAAAGCTGTCCCTCAAGGCTGTGATATCTCTTGAAGTACAGAGCTGCCTGCTCTCAGCACTATTGCTGTAAATTATCATTAGCAAAAAACTTGTCTCTGTCAACTCTTTCTCCTCACAACCTTCTGCAAAAGCAGTAGAGGACTGACATAAACACTGAAGGAATCAGGATTCAGAAGGGAACTTAATCAAAGGCAACTACTAGGAAACAGACCATTACAGACATTACTACAGACCATGAAATGGCCCTACACTGAGGCATAACAAAAGAAAAGGACCCGTCCGATGAGAATGCAGTGAGTAGGGATGGAGTCTCTTTTAAACTGCCTGCTTTCTCTTAGTCTATATTTGCTCTGATTTAAATAGTGAATAGTTCTCATTTGTGTTCTAACCAGATGTTGCTCTTGAAAGCCAAAGACTTTTTTGTGTGTCAAAGATGCTCGTTTTAAGGAGAAGCCATCTCAAAGCTCCCCGTAACACCACCCAAGAGGAAATCACCTTTCTTCTGTTGCAAATAACCCAAAACTTTTATTATTATTATTATTTAAAAATCACTTCTGTTTTAAATACATTATGGGGCACAGTTCTGTGTAATCTGAAAACTCGTGAAAAGCATTCAAATACCACAGGAATGAGAGCTGTAAAACATGCAAGTGTCTGTACATCCCTCTGCTTTCCGAACAGAGTGGTGGTGAAGGGGCAGGTTCTGTAATTTGAGCCAAAATTCCAAGTAGACTGTATTTTCTGGGGCTTTTGACTCCTACCTGTATGAACACACCATTTTGAAGCTTTCCAACAAATGCCAACTGATGCCTGAAGCATGTGACTATGGAAGAGTGTAAACGTTCTCCCTGTGCCTTTTAAGATACTCAAATAGCATCCTTAAACCATGCTACATTTGAATTAAAGATTTTCATAATGTAGTTTGTTCCTTACATGTTTTATTTATGGTTATTGTAATTCTAAGAGCCTTGAAGATCTGGCACTGGATTCTTAATGAAATTCTTTGCGATTTTCATGCAGTTTTCCACTGAATTTAGATAGCCAGAAACATTTTTAGCTGCTTAAATGGAGGAGCAGTTGTCAGTGAAGTGTCCATCCCAGGAAGAGACTGTATTAGCTCCCCATGCTGGGTTATTCAGCAGGAAGGGGGGCTGGCTTATGACACTTTGGTGGGCTGCTCCACTGAACCAGAATGTCACCTTTGATCACTTTCTCTCAGAACCTTCCTATTTCATTTGAATTAAAGAAATAAATCAAGGTTGCCTTTAAACGTTTTTAATCACTGTGAGCACGAGTCCTTAACAGGGTATTAGAGGCACTGGGGGGATGTATGGGGTCAGGAGCACGCTGCCATTCCTCAGCGCAGCAGGCAGAGCACTGATGGTGGTTAATGATAGTTATATATGCAGCTGTGTGGTATTTTTAAGTATTGTTTTTCTTGCAGCCCTCATTTTGCTACAAGCATTACCCTTCCTCCTCTTGATTTTCCTCCCTTACTTGTAGAAAGCAAAGTTGTTTACCCAGAGAGTGGCAGTGGAGTTTCCTTGTTCATATTCATACATCTTTTTCCCAGCCGCAGATGTTTAAACACCCCACCTGATCATGCTTTCCCTCTCACTGTTTGGACAGCCAAGATGGAGAGGATGATGGAGAACCCTGGCTCACAGACCCTCTGCAAGGCACCTCCAGACACTAGCGATGTCTCTAGCATTTTCATTCTGAGAAGTCTCTCTAGCTTCTCTCCTCAGCCACATGGCCCTGTGCATTACCTATGAAGCTTCTTGACTTGCTCCAGTCAGCAGGGAGATGTGCACCCTAAGTCACTTCTGTGCTATGTGTTAAGACACAAGCAAAAAATTAAAGCAAATACACTGATCTCACTGTTCTGATGGTTCAGCTGGGGTTTAACGAGACAGTTCTGAGACATTGTACAGTTAAAGATATCACTGTAACCCAGAGCTGGATTTCTTCTGAGGTATTGGTGGAAACCATATCCATGCAAAATACTGGTCTGAAAAGTGGCTGCTGCTGCTGCCAGTGCTCCAGCCCAGTGGCACAGTGCTTCAGTGATACTGTTTAGTCTTCTGAACCCGCTGCCAAGCAGCAGCATAACCCAGGCTAATAGCATCAGACGGTGTTGTTACCATCAGGTTCATTCTCTTATTTTCACTCATCAGTGACCTCCAGCTAAGTTTAGTGCTCAGTAGATTACTTCTTTCTAAAAATGTAAATGTTTGTATGTACCAAGGGGAACTGTAGGGGTACAGAAGGGCAGGGGCACATAGAATCATAGAATAGTTAGAGTTGGAAAGGACCTTAAGATCATTGAGTTCCAACCCCCCTGGGTATTGGGGTGAAATGCAGTAATTCAGCTGCCACAACAGGTAAGCAGCTTCATCCACTGAGCTCCCAGCTTCAGACTTTTGAATTTCATCAACAAACACCATGACAACTTAAAGAAGTTCTGACTTCTCATTATATTCTAAATAAAATAAATATAGATATCAGGGCTGTACACTACCTTTCTTTCCATCTGTCAACAACTTCTTCATTCAAATACAATTCAAGTACATGGAAATGTATTAGTAATATGTCTGTGCTCAGCACCCATCTAATGTAGTTTATATTTGTTATGAGCACATCCCCAGAAGTTGAACTGTTAAGAACACTGGTCAGTAAATAATGATTTACACCTTGAGCTTCCTTGGCATCTATGTCTTAGCAAATCAAATGCCAATTTTTATGTTTTTACTTTTCATTCTACAAAGCTCCATTCAATAACTAGTTTTTGTTGTTGAAATTTTTATTGTGTAATAATGGGAGAACTAGATGCTTGGAAATGTAGCGATCAATTGGTAACTAAGAGATCAAATTATCTGTATTTTAATTTTATCTTTTTATTCTCATTTCATAAAACCATATTTTTTTGCCTTTATCTGAACACCACTCATGACAACTGTAGGATGACAAATCAGTGGGAATTTATAGAGACCTGAATGTACAATCCTTTTCCTTCCTCTTCACTTCTGCTTCTCATTTCTTTATTTTCTTTTCAGGACTATTCCATTCTTTTATACTTTGATATCAGGCACTTAAGTACAGGGTTACATTCATAGTATTCAAATTGGGTATAATGATATAATAGGATATGATGCTGTGATTCTATGATAATGTCCTTTACTGAGAAGAACTGCAACTATCTTACATTGGATCTGAATTATTTTTTATAACTATTCAACTTCCTTCCATATGCAGCAGAACTGAACCTTTTGCAGTGAAAATGTAACCCCTGGTGTTAGGCACGGAACTGCTTTCTTTCTCCCAGCCCACTGATGTACAGTAGTGCTCCGAGCAACCACCTGCAAGTGAGCAGCACGGCTGAGGGAAGATTTGTTAAGCTATTTTGCTCTTTTAGGAGAGAGAATTTAAACTAGAGCTCTAAGAACCAGATTTTTCTGTTAAGTGATGCACACACATTTTCTGTAATGATTGTTATCAAGTCATACAGTACTTCCCATGCAGAGCTCATAGCTCTGATGATCAGTGCATTACACATGCTAGACAGAGAGATTTTACCCTTAGAATGTCACTTAAGCCAGGGATTGCAAGTAGGCTGCTGTATTAAATCAATTTTTTGGTTCTTGTAAAGTAACGCAATAAAGTCATGTTAGGTTTTCCAGCACTGGCAAAGAAAGTTGAAATAAAATATCCATATTGCAATGGAGATTTAAAACAGAATCACTGCAAATCTACTGTTCCTATCACAGAGAATATAAATAAAGGTTATAAACAAACTCAGAAGACTAACTCCTATATATTTAATGTATGTAATTACATATTTCCTTGCCCACATGAGCAGAACTGTTAAAGATTATTATGTAATGCATTTGGGAACAAGGCATTAAAAACACATTTTTCCCTCAGTGAAGAAAACCAGCAGTTCCTGTTCATGTTTTTGCAAGCAGGAGCCCCTCTGGGGCAGTAACCCATGCTGATCTGGGGCTGCATTACTGGCCTGGTCTTCCTCCCCTGTCCTGTCAGTGCTGTATTGCAACATAAGGGCCTGATCCTGCCATCACTGCTCTGCAGCAGCTGAAGATGAGTTGATGTGGTGCTGCATGCATGCACATGGGTATGGGCAAGTTGCAGCACAACCAGAGTGCTCCTCCTGTGCCTCACTGGTTAATGCACAGTCCCACCAAGCCGTGACTGCTCTGTGCAAGTGCCAGCAGGCAAACCTGGAAAAACCCAACCCAAACCAAAACCTACCTGCCCTTTCTCCTTCAGTTTACCTCCAGGCTCTCAAATAAGCCACAGAACGAAGATTCAGGTGGGTTTCAGTCCTAGTGGGATCGCAATACATCACTTGGAACACAACAGCTCTGGTTGCTCAGAGTTTACCTTCTTTTTATGCCGTAAATGTTATTATTTAACTGGGATTCTAGTCAGAAAGCTGGTCACTACATAACGTATTCATCTTTATTGACCCCTCTCCATTGCCTGTATGTTCACTGCTGGGTCTAGCCACTGAAGAAAAGGTTACTGTCTGAATTAATGCTGTGAATCAGTGGGACTACAGTCAAAAAAAAAAAAAAAGAAAGCAGGATTTTGCCCATATTCTTGCTGTTAACACATTAAAGAGTAAGTTATGCTGAGGTTCAGCTGCCAGCATTTTCATTTGTTCTGACTCCTATTTCAGGGAAGTGCTGAGGTTATTTCTTGAGCAGTCAAGGCAATTTCACTGGACGGTGAAATAACTGAGCTTCTGTGCTGAACTCTCATCCGCAGCCCATAATAACTGAAACACAGCATATACAGGGAATAAGGCACAACCGAGTACATTCAGTTTATACTGTTTCTTAGAAAAGCTTTAAAGGAGCAGATCGACTGTGAGACTAAGTGTCCTTCACTGTTCTCCCAATGACTACACAGTCAGGTGTTCTTGTTAAGTGTATTTCCTTTGATCCATCACCTTTCTAGTTGGGTTTTGCTGGTTACATTGATCCTGAATTACTTTTTCTGAGGAATTTTTCTTAGCCAAAATAGCAATTAATGTCTTTAGAGAAAGCAGAGCTTTTCAGCAATGATTTGGTTGCTCTCTCTTAAGCCAAGTGATACAAAATCTGTCTTCTAAATCCTCTCTGAGCAATAGGGAGGCCTGAATGGATTTCATTATAATATGATATAAAATATGGGTCTCACACAGTCATATTCATGCACTTTCACAGCAATTATCTGCTCTGTTGATTGGATGAGGACTGGGCCTTGATGAATCATTTTGAATATAAACCATGTAGCTAACAGTTCATCAAATCAGCATGAGAAAAGTAATACAGTAAACCCAATGTCCAGACTTTGTAAAGGAAGAGTGGCAGCTTCCAAACCAAAAGTGGGTCAGCTGAGGTGCACACAGAGCAAGACAGAAGCTCACAGGGGTCTTTAGGAGACCATGGGCTAAGGCAGCAGTGCGCTGGGACTACCAGGATAGATATGCTCCTCCTTGCACTGACAGCATAGTCAAAAAACTCCACAAACCTGCCTGGAGACATCAAATAAACTCACTTTGTTCACACACCTTTAAAACCAGATGTGTGATGCAGTCTAGAGGGTCAGTATCTGTCATCATGTCTTGTCTTCAGCTGCTGGTCATCTGCACAGATTAGTAAGAACTCCCATGGGCAGAAAAGACCACTCCACCTGTGTTGGATGATTGGACTGGGGTCCTCTGTGGGTCTGTATCTTAAGGCTGAGCTCTTGTGAGGATTGCTGATGTCAAAGCACTGCAGAGGATTTCTCGGGTTCCCCTCCCTTCCCCACAAGCTGCTTTCATGAGGAGTTTCGGGGCACTGTCACACACATGGCTGGGACTGTGTTGTGAGTTTAGCATTCATAGGGATAGACCAACAGAGAGGCACTCCTGAAGAGGTGGAGAGCTGGCGTGCTCATCTGACCCTTCCCTACAGAGGAAATTCAGGCCAAAAATGGCTTTTGAGTCCAACCGTTAACCTAGCAACGCCAAGTCCACCACTAAAGCATGTCCTTAAGTGCCACAGCTACACGTCTTAGATACCTCCAGGGATGGTGACTCAACCCCTTCTCAGGGCAGCCTGTTCCAGTGCTTGACAACCTTTCTGGTGATGAAATTTTTCCTAGTATCCAATGTAAACATCCACTGGTGCAATTCGAGGACATTTCCTCTCATCCTAGTACTTGCTGCTTGTGAGAACAGACTAACATTCACCTCAGTACAACCTCCTTTCTTGTAGTTGTAGAGAGAGGTGAGGTCTCCCCTCAGCCTCCTTTCAGTCTGGCTCAATAACCGCAGTTCCTTCAGCTGCTCCTCATGCTGTGGTCACGCTGTGATCCTATGCTGTGGTCAAGTACTAAGTTTGGAAAACATCAGCGCCAGCACAGGACTTTGGAGAAGTGTGACTGCAAGGAAGTATTGTCCCATAAAAAAATGGTAAAATGCCTGCCTTCAGCTACCACAAAAGCAAAAAAAATGAAGATGCTCGAGTTACTAGAAGCCTGATTGTCCAGGGTTAATTCATTTTTCAGTGACAAACTGACCTGGATGGTGCCATAAATGGATTATGAGCTTTTGTAGAGCTTTTTTTCCCCTGTATAAGAAGAAAGACTCCTGACTGCCAGCACAGCTTTGTTTACATGTTCAGTTCAGTCAGCTGATGGCCAATGCCCCGTGTGATGAGAGATACAGATGATTTCTTCCCAGAAAAGGATTTGTTCAGCCTCAAGCAGAGCTCCCTCAAGAGACCACTGGTAATGGCAGACAGCATTTACTTAAAGTAGATGGTTGCCAGAACAAGATTGTCTCGTTTTCCTTTGCTGGTTTGGCCAAAAGCCAAGTTCATCCTTCAAATCCCCTTTTTTTTATCCCCTTGATTTTAAGGTTCCTGTGAGCAGTGATTAACAATTCCTGTACTTGTGTCGATGGTGGTGTGATAGCAGTGTGAGCGTGCCAGCTCTGTCACAGTCTAGACATGCAGGTACACATGATGTGTTCACACCCTGTCATCTGACAGGCCTTCAGGTAGCAGAGATGTATATCTCCTCAGTGAGTTTTAATAACTGAGGTGCTAAAGCTGTGAAGTACCAAGCACCTCCTACCCACCCACTTCTTTGTCAGATTAAGCCCTAAATCTCTCTGAATGTGTTCTTCTGTGCTGGGAGAATATTTAGGCTATAATTTAAATCTTTTCTCTTTTACAGCTGCACAATTCAGTCCAGTTGCTTTATCTGCAAAGCTGTTTCTCAGGGACCAAGAATAATGATGTAAAAACTGTAAAGTTAATTTAAGAGCTGGTGATGATCAACCAATTTGAAGCAACTCCTCAGTGTTTCAGGTGGACTCATTTTCATAGCTACAGCTGAGACACTTGGAGAAATCAGCTCAGTTTTCAGATGGTACCTTCAGCCTTTCCTTCTCGTACTTTTCCTTGGCTTTTTTATTCTTCACTCCTTTTACAACTCTGTTTCTCCTTCCTCTTTCTTCCCTTCTTATCTGACATTCTCCTCCCCTCTTTCCTTGCTGACAGTGTCTGCTGCAGCCACAGCACAAGCGGATCCAACCATTTCCTGTGTCAGCCCTTCGGGAATGTGTAGTCTAAGGCACACGAGCCAAGGAGGGAGAAGGGAAGGACAGGAGTGTCACAGCAAGGCCACCTTTTAGTCATTACCCCAGCCCGGGTGGGTTTTGATTCCTCTAACCACAGGCCTGATCCTCAGTTCCCCCGAACTCTATTTACAACATGTTTAGTAATTTCCACCAGCTGGCCCTTATTGAGAGTGTCACTCAGTGCTTCAAGTAACAATTTCATGTCTCAAATGACATGGCAAAGAATTCCATCCTAACCAACGTTATTGTTTTTAGGCTGATAATCTTTTTGTTTTTAATTAACAGGCATTTGTTGTGAGCAGTTTTCCTCTGGAGGTCCTCAAAACCCTGTTGGGAATGGGCATTCAAACCTCTTTTCTCTACAGCAGACTTTGGATCAGGCCCCCAGTGCTGAAGCACACTGAAGGTCACTTTTCGCTTCTAGGATCAACAACCTGGAAACAAAGGAGCGCAAGAAGTTAATGTCCTACATGGTTTAAAAAATAATTGTGAATGGTTTAGAAACCTGACATGTCAACTGGGAATGCAGTTGATTGAATAACAAAAAAAGCAACAATCACATGAGGACGCTGCACTCGGGTTTTTTTTGCATAATCAGTCACAGACTTTGATTTATGCTCCCTCTCCTTTCTGCCAGATAATGAGGACTTAGTTCAAACAAGCCTGGTATCCCTAAGGCTATTGCCTTCACCCTTTTCCTTGGCTGGCAGATGAGGGAAGACTGGCTGCAGCCAGGAGGGTGCTGAAGCACGAAGTCTATGTACGTAAGATGCACAGGAGTGTACATCAGAGCCTGAGTTACTGAGAGAAATGCTGGCTGGCTGCTCTGGGTAGTGACAAAATCAGCTAATTAATAGCAAATTCTAGAAAAATGGAAGGGACTAAGAACAAATAAACCTAAAAATAGTGAGTAGTCTCAGTTCTGAAACCTCCTTCCGCTGGGCAATGTCTTCATTGCATTGTGACTTGGACTTAGAGACTTCCACTGGCCCTCCCACAACAAAACTGTTTTAGTGTTGACCAACTTGTTGCTTTCTGGCTAGCCAATGTCTCACTTGCCAGTGCATCACTGAAAACACTGAAAACATTACTGAACTCCATACTTGTTTCTGTGCCATGTTGTCTCACCAAAGCTTGTTCTTTGCTGCAAACAGAAGCATGAAACCTCACAAGGTTGCCAGGGCTGCACAAAATTGAGTTGCTGCACTGCCTGCAAGAGAACACCTGGGCTGGTGAAGCATGGGGAACCTGAATTTGAGCCATTAAGTGTTTGCAAATCTGCCTGTATTATGCTATTCCTCTTGAGCCATTGGTTGTACCTTGTTACTAGCTAGGGCACCAAAGTCTGCTTTGTAATCTCAGCACACCATGAAGTCAATACAATGAAGTACTTGTCTGTGTTAGGTCATAGCAACTTGCGAGCTAGATATTGAGTGGCCATCACTACATATGGTCTGTGATCGCACCTCACACATTATATTGTGCAGCTGTTGTTAAACAGTGCCCACTAAATGTTTAAATAACATTTTCCTTTACAATCAACTCTCATCAGGAGCCAAGGCCAGAGATGTGTTAGAATTGGCCCATCTCCATTTAGTCTACAGCTGTTGCCCAGGATGTGGGAAGAGACACAAGGGTAAGTAGTGATGGGTCCAGCAAATGCAGTAAGCTGTTGCTGTAATGCTTGCAAATCAAGCTGGGGCAAGAGTTAATTTGGATTTCTGGAAATAAGTGTTCCTAATTTAAAAACAAATTAAGTACAAAAATTGATCATAGTGCAAAACCAGTATAAAAATGCCTGCAAGGTAAATGGTGTGTCTCCAAACAGGTCTCTCAGAAATCCCAGGGAATGCTGAAAGCAAAAGGAGTGAGTCATAAGCACATGAGCCGAAAGAAGCTGAATACAAAATCATGCATCTCTGCTTAATTCCATCACATGATGAGTCCTGGGGCCCTTCATTTAATTGGAGAGCAAAGCAGTGGGGAAACTTCACTCTCACTTCTCAGTGGGGACCGGAGGAGTTACCGTGTGCAGACACCGGGCACTCTCTGCTCCCCTGAGCTGACGCAGGGGCTCCAGCACCATGAGCGTTGCTCGCCGACACCTTGGATTCCTGCTCCTGGCTGAAGCGATGCTGTGTGCTGCTGCCACACGTGAGTGCCTCCTTCACCCTGTCCCCTCTCCCTGCCCCTCTGGGTTCAATGTCCTGAGCCAGGGCAGTAAGAATGGCTGCTCCGTGCAGGTGCAGTGGTTGCTAGAGGTGTGCTTGGGAAGCAGGAGGTGACATCTAGCTCCAGTTGGGTTGCCTGGCTCTGGGTAGAAATGTCACTTGAGCTGGAAGAATACTCCAAGAGCTGTTTAGTTATTGATTCCCTGATCTCCACAGATATACAGTGCTTACCGGAGCTAAGCGTTGGCTCACCTAAACACATTTCTAGCGGTAGCTCCCCAGCTGAAGCATGGCTAGAAAGGCACATGTAGAATGGACTTCTCCCAGTTTGCTCAGCTCAGCTGTGGCTGGGAGAAGCCAGGTCAGAGGCAGTGCTCCCCACTGGGATGCCCTGACCTGTGGATCCCCAAACTCGGGGAGCCCAGTTGAGGAATTAAATCCTAAAGCCATGGTGAGCAGGCACAGTCCTTTGCTTTTTTCTGGGCTCCCAGCTTGCCTCGAGCCTCAGGTTGAGGTCCTGAGATCAGGGCTGGGATCCCAGAAATGGGATTTTAGGCTTAAATTACAGAATCTACAGTAAGGGAAGTGAAGAAGTTAAAAGCTGAGGTCCAGCTGAGGGTCCATCTAGCCTTGTAACTCTTTCCAATGGGACACAGTAATAGGTGTATAATCAGGCAAGCGTATACTGGCATTTACTCGGGACACCTTCCCAGCACCAGAAGTGCCTCTGTCAGATGCAGAGTTATTGTATTTAACAGTTTTTCCTGGACTTTTCTTCCACCCATTCATGCACTTGGGTTTTGATTACAACTGTGTAAATTTTTGACACACACAATACGCTGCCAGCAAGAAATTTCACACCTTAAGTGTGCCTTATGTGAAGAAATACCCTTTGTGTGCTTAGAACCTGTAACCTGCTGCTTTCATTTGATTCTCCTTAACTTCTGTACTTCCAGAAATAGCAACAAATTGCTCCTGCCTCCATGGTGTTCATCATTCTGGCTTTGTATTCTGCTCTGTCACCCCTTCTCCAGGCTCAAGACACAGTTCATTTAGCTGTTCCTCATATAGAAACAATTCTAACCCTTTGTAGCATCCTCACCACCTATCTCTGAACTTTCTCAGTTTCCTTATACCCTGCTTGATCTGCAGAGAACACAGCAGCGTACAGTATTCAAGACATGAACATACATGGAATTTTACAATGCTGTAATGACGATTTCATCTTTGCTCTCTATCTAACCTTTTCCTAGTTTTAACAGCTACCAATGAACACTGCATTCAAAACCGTAAAGCTACAAGATCTTGCTTCTGAGTAGCAGTAGCTAGTTCAGGGCCCCTCATTCTGTCAGTTACATTTAACTATGCTGAATTTCGTGCAGCTTTATTCTTGAGTCATTGAGCCTCTTAAGTCCTCCCCTCTACTAGTTTCAGATGCTCTCTTCAGCAGCTTAGATCTGTTTTCCAGATTATAAACATTAAAAATTATTTCAGCAATTGAGAAAACTGGACACTCATTCATAACTTCTGGCTCATATATCTTAATCAATTATTTATTCATGTGAATTCCTCCATTCTTACTCCATGGTAACACAGACCCTTTATGTGCCTTTACTGCAAGACTTCACCAAATGCTGTCTGGAACTCAAGCAGACAATAACAAGCAGGTCAGCCCTGCTCCCATGCTCTCTGGCTCCCTCAGCGTAACCCGAATCCATTTGTGAGGAATGCACTGCTCTCATGGCATATCAAATTAATGCACTGTATCTGCTAATTCTGTTCCTCACTGCTGTTTTTACAAGCTTCTCCAATTTGAGCCTCAAACTTTTTGTAATCCTCTAAATCTTCCCTGGACGTGTTTTTAAACACTGCCATCACATTTGCCAACTTTTGTTTCTTGGCCACTAAAGCAGTTTTGAAACAAGATGTTAACATGCTACGGTTAATCATAGAATCATAGAACAGTTAGGGTTGGAAAGGACCTTAAGATCATCAAGTTTCAACCCCCCTGCCATGGGCAGGGACACCTCGCTCTAAACCATATCACCCAAGGCCTCGTGCAACCTGGCCTTGAACATTGCCAGGGATGGAGCATTCACAGCTTCCCTGGGAAACCCATTCCAGTGCCTCACCACCCTAACAGGAAAGAATTTCCTCCTTACATCCAATCTAAACTTCCCCTGTTTAAGTTTTAACCCATTACCCCTTGTCCTATCACTACAGTCTCTAACGAAGAGTCCATCCCCAGCACCCCTATATGCCCCCTTCAGATACTGGAAGGCTGCTATGAGGTCTCCATGCAGCCTTCTCTTCTCCAGGCTGAACAGCCCCAACTTTCTTAGCCGCTCTTCATATGGGAGGTGCTCCAGTCCCCTGATCATTCTTGTGGTCCTCCTCTGGACTTGTTCCAACAGATCCATGTCCTTTTTATGTTGAGGACACCAGAACTGTATACAGTACTCCAAGTGAGGTCGTTTATTTCACTCTTGAATAGCGTCCATACTTTGTGAGCCATCCTATCTAGCCAATTTCTTCATTATTTTGGTTTGCTCTATCATTTTACTTTTCTTTTGTGCCAACACTTCATTTTGAGATTCTCCACCATTACAAAGAAAAATTCTAGCACCGAAACCTCTTACACTCCTCTTCTGTGAATGAAAATTTAAACTAATATACTTAACTTTCATGATATCCCTTTATAATCCCTGAATGCTTCTTTTGTATCTACATCATCCTTTGCCCCTACAGACTTCCTGGCAAGCTCTCCACTACTTTTGTATTTGAGAAAAAGATAATTAGCAAGTTTGATGGTTTTTAAGTTGTTCCTCAAATTGTCCTGCTTTATTATGTTTCTATACATAACTTTAGAAAGCTCATATTATTTTCTGTCATCTTAGCTGAGCCATATCAGCCTTTTGACTTATAATACACTTTCAACTTCTTTAGCTGGGTCATCTTTTTGTTGCTGTTGTTACAGCACTGGCTTTTGTTCTCTCTGTCATGGCTAACACACTATCACATGAAATGCTGAACTTCTTGTCTTTGCTACATTTTTCACCAAAATGAAAACCAGAATGAGAAGGAAGAAAGTCAATCAGAATGTAAGAAAGATCTTTTCTCCTATGATCACCTCACCAACACTATTACAGTAATCAATTCCTTTGAGTGTAATATTAGCCTCTCAATTTTGAAGTGAATTGCTCTAATTTTGGTTATGACCAACATCTGTTCTTGAGTGGTTTTCATTGTTAAAGGAGAAATACATTAAAGCCTTTGGTCCTTTAAATTCAGCAACTGAAAATCTTCAGCTCCATGTGTTGGAGAAACCAGTGCTGAAGTCTTTGCTCATCTGAAAAAATGTCATTGTCTTGTCCTGAAGCTTGTAAAACGTTTTATATTCGATTGAAATAAACAAAGCACATCAGGGAGGCACAGAAATGCCTGAGGAGCTTGTGATTTAGGAGCAGTGACCACAATTATTACCAAAGCTGGACAAGAAAATGACTTATGAATTCAAGGCTTGTTATTGAAGATTCAAAATTAAAAGCATTTATAAAATTAAAAGTGCTCCAGCTCTTGTTGATGAATCAAGCATTTGGGAAGAAAACAATCATTGAAATGTTTTGATCTGACAAAGCCAAAACATTTTATTTATTAAATTTTAGGTAAAAAATCAAAGAGAACAGGAAAAAGAAATCAGGAAAAGTCCCCAGTCACTTACTTTCAAATGAGATGGCACATTAATTTAAGGACCTAAAATGTAATTGAACTTGACAAGCCTTTGTGAAACACCTTTATAGTCACTAATCTGATTTTTCCTGACAAAAGTTTCTGAAGGACAACATTACCTTTTGACCAAGACTGAAAACAATACAGCATGTGATACAGGCCATTAAGTAAATACCAGTCATGATGCTTTATGCTTTGCTCACATCAGTATATTAAATCTGGAAGAAAAACTCAATCAAGTGGTTTAAGTGAGACTGTGGAGTGTTCCTGTAGGGTAAAAGACCGTGGGAGAGTATGTCTGCATGCAAAATCTGTTCTCTTCCTTGAACCTTTCAGTCCTTCGGGAGAGAGCTACCAGCATCAGTTCAGAGTGACCATTGAGATGAGGCTGGCCAAGGGGTGTGCTTCCTGCCCAACAGAAATTTCACTGGGCAATGAAACATCACGAGGAAGCAGCTCCTCTGCAGTGCTGTTTCTCTGGTTCTCCCTCACAGTCAAAGTAGGAGTCACATGCCCACAAAGACTGTGCTTAGACAGGCTACACCTGCTCTGTGCCTTTCCCAAAACTCGGAGGAATTCCAGCACAGCCAGTTATGTTACAGCGACAGGGATATTCTTGCCCTTCATACAGGTCTCTGCATTTTCCTTGAAGTGATCCAGCTCTTTGTTGTACTTGGGTATAAACCTCAGCAGCATTCAGCATCAGCTGCCTTTAAAATGAAGCCATGAAAAGCAGAAATCCCTTGATGTTGTGACTGAATGGCACGCCCAGCAGTTACTTGATTAACATGACAGAGCTGTTTAAAGCCTCCAGGCATTCATGGGACTCTGCCTATGAGCCTACTTAGGAACATCTTTTTATGGCATCCCACAGTTGTTGACGTGTTCCTACAGGTTACTTGGCTATTTACTTTGCTTTTCATTATGTGTACTTTGTGACAGAAAGAGGGATCCTAGAAGGCCTGGGAAAAGCTTGAGCCCGTCATTTGTAGTAATATGAGAAGAGGTTATTAAAGTGATTTAATATCTGAGCCATTTTAAAGTAATAGGCATGAAGTTAATATGTTTTTGTTGTTGTATTATAAACACATTGAATTTACTATTCAGCTCTAAATTTCCTTTTCTGGGAATATCAGCTTCTGTTACAATTGATTCCAACCCTCCCACCCAACCACCCAGCCAACTCACCAAAGCAGCTTCAATGGGTCAAAGTTAATTCCTGGCATAACTTCCACTAGAGCATAACTCAGACACTGAGTGAATTTATCCTGTTAGCGTTTTACTCATAGCATTACCAGGCAAGCACAAAGCCATCACCAATCAAGCAGTATCTGTACAACCAGCCTGATTGTTGCAGGGTTATGTCCACCCATACAAAAAATTGCTCTGATATGATCAAAACGTTTTAGACCTTTTTATTCTTTCTCTGGAAAGCTTGCAATAGTGCAAGGAAAAACGTGTCAGTCTAACAATGTTTTGGAATAGTCTTTATGTTGGTTATAGTTGATGTATTTATAGCTGCAATGATAAAACTGTAACTTTCTCTGGTGAAGAGTTTTCTAATCAGAACAAGAATATAGTCATAATAGGAAAGCTGTTCAGCATAAGAGCAATGCCTTTTAGAGTGGTAGGGAAAATGCTATTATATGGCATGTTCATTTCTTTCTCCAGGGTTTCAAGATGTGCTGAGCCAGGGAAGTACTTCTCCTGTCACATCCTACAGGAAGCTACAAGGCTGGTCTAGTGATCAAAATAAATGGAATGAAAAGCTTTATCCTTTCTGGAAAGAAGGAGATCCCAGATGGAAGGACTGCTGGAAAGGTGATTGCACACATGCATTTCAAAGACACTGAGAAAATTGGCCAGAAAATCCACCTCACTCAAGTACGCAGGTGCTATAAAGCTTTTTCACTGGAGCAATATCCATCACCGCTGTGAGGAACAGCAAATTAGAGACAATTAGGTCTGATACCATTCCCAGGGCATTTTCTGAGGAAGCAGAACAGTGAGTTGTTACAGGAAATGACTTCCCATGACTCATAGCCTCAGACATTAATATTTATGAAGTATTGATGGCTCTAGGACAATCCATTACTTGAAATATGCCCTAGAGGACTGGTAGCTTCAACTGCTACCTTGGTATGGCACTGTGGGCTTTAGCTTGATGACTTTGGTGAAGACCCTCTTTATCATCACCTGGTCTGAGCTGAGGTCTAAAGGCTATATCTCTGGGGAGAAACAAAAATATTCTCCTTTGACCCCTATGGGTATAAACCCATATTCTTAGCTCTCAGAAGGAAATTGGTGACAGACCACTAAATGATGTGGAGAGAAATGATGAGTTCCTCTGATTATTCTAAGTTGGGGCTTAGATAAGAGTGCAAGTGACTTAGAAGCATAACCCCCCTTAGAAACAGAGGACGCAATAAAGCGCTTCTAATGTGAATAGTGCACAGCTGCAGGTAGCTGCTGCTCCGATGCATCTTTTACTGCAGTGAAGACCAATTTTCTTTTCTACAGGTGGAAGGGTGACAGTCAAATTGGACACTGACAGCCCAGCACTGGTAGGATCCAACGTGACTTTTGTTGTGACTCTCCAGTTTCCCAAGTGCCAGAAAGAAGATAATGATGGCAACATAGTATATGAGAGAAACTGTACCCAGGGTAGGTAACTGCAATCTCCCCACACTGCATGTGTCTGACTTTGCTGATGTGATCAGGTCATGAATCCTTGAAAACATCACAGGTACATCCTATGACATGCCCTGGTGCTTTTAACTGGTAACTACACTCGTGTGTAACCTGTGCTACACCAGGTTCTCTCCTCAGAAGGTTGCTATGGTATGTTTACTGTTCTGTACCCACTATATATAATGACCAACTAATTGAAGATTTGCCTTCACAAACCAGTGATACTAATTTTGCTTCCTAACAAAGCTGTTACTGCTCTTCAATTGAGTCACAAGGTTGCACAGTCACACTGTGTTCTCCAAAATTTATAAAGCTGTCAATTTATACAGCTGGTTTATTCATTTTTTCCCAGTTGGGAATTGTAGAACACACTAACCATTATCTGCATCTTGAAAAACCCTTTGGAAAGAGTAAATCTCACATTCCCACATTTTAAGATTCAAAAACAAAAATGAAAAGACAGAATTTAAAAATCAAGCAATCTTTTCATCAGAGAATCACCTTTTTCAGCTTATTTACCATCACACAGAGCAAAAAAACTATCATAATCCCAATGTTTGAAGCTTCCAGATCTAGAGCAGAACAGGCTGCTGCACTTTTTCTCCTCTGAATTCATAAATGTTCAACAAATTGTTTTACAGATCAAAACAATTTCCATTTCAAGGCATGTCAGCAACTTTTTTTGTCAGCCTGAGTTCTACTTTTTGATTGCCTAATGTTTTGTTAACAGCTGACATCCATTCTCTACTTAAGATCTGTTGTGCTGTTTGGGGAAAGAAACTGCCTTCTCATTATTAAGAAAGGAACTGGAAGTCGTGTCTGAGTTATTTAAAGGTGCCATAGAACACTTCTCTAGCAAAACAAAGTCACTTCCTCACAGCACTTCCACGGCTGCTATTGCTATTCACCATTTTAGATTCTGCTTGCCAAAGGTTCAGGTAGCCCCATTAACTCCAGTGAAATGGTAGCATCCTGTGTAGTCAACAGCAAGTTTTGGGCAAGGAGTTTCAAACTGTCTGGCCCACGCGACATTAAAGTCTTTCTAAGCTTCTAAATAAAATAATGCCAAGCCAGAATAATGGTGTGTTTACATTAAAAAACAAAGCACAGCTTTACAAACACTGAATGTTTAAAACCTGTTAAGTGCAGTAACTGCCATAAACTAGGGTGTCTGGCTCCTGCTCCCTGCCTTTCTGCACACTTTCATGTCCTATTTCTACACTTAGATTTTCCAGTTTCCCAGGATCAGCAAGTCTATGTCTACAACTGGACTGAATGGATTGACAACTGTGGCTGGGAAAACTGCACAAGCAACCACAGCCATAATGTATTCCCAGATGGGAGACCTTTCCCTCATTATCCTGGCTGGAGGAGAAGGAACTTTGTCTACGTGTTTCACACGTTTGGTTAGTACCGTAACACATCCCTTGGTTTGGCTGGTGCTGCAAAGCTTATATTCATCCTGCATTCTGTAGCTCATTTGTCCAGTATGTTATTAGAAGTCCTTTGAAAAGGATTTCACACTCTTAAGTGAAGTTCCCAAATTCATTCACCACATTCCAGAGAGGCCATCAGCTGCTTTGTCTGGAAATCATGGATTACCAGGAGGTTCTCTTTAAATCTGCATTCACAGTACTACCACTGAAGAAAAGTAATTTCAGTAGTACCCAAAGATCCTTTCCTAGGAAAACAGAGGGTCTGAGCAGGTCAGCCAGATGATTTGTTGACAGCTCACTGCCACTTCAGATCCTTACCTTTAAGAGAGACCATAGCGCTGTGTATCTTCAGATTGGTTAAATGGTGAAGCACTTCTTGCCTCTGGATAGCTGAAAACTGCCACTGACTGTGTGGTACTGATTTGGTTGCAGATGCCAATTTTCAGCGTTTCCAACTCCTGAGAATGTAACTGTTGGGCTATTCCTGCCATTGGCTACAAACTAAATCTTAGTATCCTAAGTTAGCTTGGCTAAATCAGTATTATCATCAGTAGCAGCACAAGTAGTAACAAAAATGATGTCCCAAATTTTAGGTAGAGGTAATACCTACCCCAAGAGCTGTTACAAAGACAAATAAGAAAACATACACAAAGGGCTCTAGGGTATGAAGAAAGAGGTATTATATATTCTTGCTACACTGAAAGTGCAAACACAAGATCACTTAAAAGTGCCTAAGAGGTAACAACATCCACTACATAATCCTAATGACTTAATGTAACAAAATTGCTTTGGAAAGATGCAGGTGCTAATTTTTCTTAGATTAGTGAAATTTGGGGCTTCTTTCTGACACCTTCAAAAAACCCACATATATAATGGGAGTAAACACATTGCAAAACTATTCAGTCCTCCAAAACCACCTGCCAAGTAACTGAAACACAATTCTAAACTATTCATTTTGTGTTAGACAATCCAAGATTCACAGATATATTGTTTCTCTTAAGACAACTTGTAGCTTGGCTGAAGGAGAAAACTTCATGTTGTGTTTCAGGTCAGTACTATGAGAGAACTGGACGATCTTCAGCAATGTTTTCAGTCAACACAGCAAATATCACTCTTGGCAAACACGTGATGGCAGTATCCATTTACAGGAGAGGGCACTCATCATACGTTCCAATTGCAAGAGCAAGTGCCATTTATGTTGTGACAGGTGAGTGTGCCGGAATAAAAGGCAATAAAATATTGGGGTATTGTTTAGGTGTTAAAAGAATTCAGCACAAGCATTATCTGGCACAAAAAGAAGGCATTGGCCTGAGAAAGGCTTTTAATATGAAAGTGGAATCTCTGGTAAATTGCCTTTAGTAGTGTAATTGACCTTTGTATCTAGCTCCGTTGTGACACCTCTACTTTGTAATGAAAAATTATTTATGAGAGGAAATGCAATCTTCCACAGATCCCTGGGATTCTTCATTTGTTTCTGGGTAACTGTTTCCTACTGACATTCACTCCTCAGATCAGTAAACCAAATTAAAGTAGAAACCCATGTTAAAGATATTCATGTCTCACATTCTGACTGTTGCTGTTCAGGGCTGCTGTTTGTTGTTTGCAGCCAGGTATGTATGCTTTAACTATTTACTTCCTTTTTTTCCCCCACTCCAGACAAAATTCCACTATCTGTGAGTATGTTCCAAAAACATGACCGCAACATCTCAGACTCCATTTTTATCAAAGACTCGCCAATCACATTTGATGTGAAGATCCATGATCCCAGCTACTATCTGAATAATTCTGCCATCTCCTACAAGTGGAACTTTGGAGATGGAAGTGGTTTATTTGTAGCCAGCAGTCCCGTGGTGTCTCATACCTATACTCTGCAAGGAAACTTCACTCCAAATTTAACTGTCCAGGCCATTATACCTGTACCTTGTAAGCCAGTGACACCCACTGCACCACTGCCCACCTCAGCAGGTAAGAGTTTATCGAACAGCGATGATATTCAAAGTTATGATAAAACTCTGAATTCTGATATTCTAGGTTCATATCATTAGAAGTTTTACTTTCATCAATGAAAGAGCTGCAAAGCTCTGCAAACCCTCTATAAATCGGTTTAGAGAGAGAATCAATAAGCATAAACTCTACACTACACTTGATCTTAGCTGAAAGGCTGAGAAACGATTGGCACTGGAACGGATTGCCCAAAGAAGAGGTAAATGCTCCATCCCTTTCAGTGTTCAAGGCCAGGTTGGACAGAACCTTGGGTGACATGGTCTAGTGTGAGGCATCCCTGCCCATGGCAGGGGGGTTGGAACTGGATGATCTTAAGGTCCTTTCCAACCCAAACCATTCAATGATTCTACGAAACCCTTCTATGATTCTATGGTAGCCATCGCTTATACATTTACCACATCACACATCCAGTTCTACCACCACAGTGACAGCATATATGGTCTTCACGTGGACATGCAGTACATACAGATTTGTTTTTATATCCTCTAGTGGTTTTAACCTTGCCTACTCAGCGTCATCCTCTGAGGTAAGATGTAAGTTTTAAGTGAGAAAGAGGTATTTCAGAACACTCTTCTAACCAGTTCTTTCCTGGTTTGTATTAACATCCACCCAAAACTAAATGAGATTGGATTAAACTAGAAAATAAACTTACTCATATTCCAAAATATGGGATTTCCATGTAGCATTATCCCAGAACTGCTTTTCCACTTTAAATTTATGCACTATCACATTTCAAAATAACTTTCATTATGTTCAGCGTTGGGTTATCATCTCAGTGGTTTTAAGGTTTGCAAAAGGCCAGCAGTTTCAGCCTGGGTAATTATAATACTATTCAATTGTAAATGTGGCTATATTTTTCAAATTTCAGAATTTTAACATGTGCTTTTACCAAAATGCTGAGTGAGAATGAAAAATGAATGCAAAGATATAATTTTCACCACTTCCCCCCTTCATTTCTCCACTAGCTGTAACATAGAGCAATAAGGAAATGCCTTCTTTTAAAAAGAGCATTTAAAACCCTTTATTGGCCTTTGGATTTCTTCTGTAATTGATTTGGGAATTTTAAAGAAGAGTTTAATTATATGGAACCGTGCAGTCTCACTTTTATTTCACAGAGATGGCTCACTAGCAAGGTGGCTTTTAGAGTGAGGCTACCCAGGCCACCTCAAGGCTCTACAGCTGGGCACATGTGTTTTCTTTAAGGCTGATTACTGTGATCCCATACAGACACATATGTGACTGCACAGCTGCAAACCAAAGTGACTAATGACCTAGGTAATGAATACAGTTGAGACATATGGCCATGATCAGAATACCTCTAAGTAGAACTTGTTCTAAAGCTGTATATCTATTCTTTCTCCTTTAACTCAACAGTAATTGCTGGAGCAGCTTCTAATGCAGACTATTCTACCACTATCGAGTCAATGGAAGACAATCCAGATGAAGGTTGCCATATTTACAGAAATGGATACTACAGAAGTGGTATCTCTGTCGTAGGTAAGGACATGGGTCAACACCTGAGCGGAAGAATGGGGTTAACAACAATGTATGGTAGAAATAATATTTATTTAGGCTCAATTTTATCAAATACTCAAGACCCACAATAAGATCCTTCTCTGGACATAGCTGACATTTTAAGAGATTAATGCACAGAGAGCTAACTGTTTGACTTTGGTTTCTTTACACGCTCTGCCAAGACCTGATGGCAGAGATTATAGACCCTTGATTTCAGAGATACAAAGCCAGGCACTGGTCTGGATGCCTGCTGATGGCTCCCTCTATGCTACATATGGTGTGTCCAGGCACTCAGGCTGGAGGTGATGTGCACCATACCACTACTTTCTATATAATCAGCTTCTGAACCTGCCACACCTGGAACATACTAGCCTGGTGGGAGTGACATAAAGTTGAATTGACCTTCGCATGAACAAAAGTCACAGATAGTGGGACAGGGAAGTGACTCAGTAAAATAAATAACTAAATAATAATAATAATGGAAAAATAAAATAGAGCAGAAAGGAGCAGCCCCAGAGCGAAAGCACTGGAAAATCCCTCAGCTTTCAAACTGCTCAAGAGGAGTGCTAAGTGAGGGAGAAACCTATGGAAAACAAGACCTGAACCAAGTATCAGCCAAGCACTTGAGGCTCCGTATATACAGACTTCAGAGCTTGTCATGTGTTCTACCACTGACATCTGCTTCCTCTCCCAGAGGGAATCCTTGAGGTAAATATTATACAGATGATGAGCATCCAGATGACAGAAACTCAAGCTGAAAACTCACTGGTTGACTTTGTTGTTACCTGCCAAGGGAGGTAAGTGTGTGAATGAAACTGCCAGTCTTCCCTCTTTAATTAGGTGCTGGAACACAGTCTGTGCTTAGATACAGCTGCATGAACAAAAGCTGGGAACTGCAGTGTTTCTATTTCTTGACTGGAACTAAAGATAATGCAAGTCTCATTTGTAAACTATGACAATAAGGTTTACTGCCAGGCTTTTAGGATTCAGAACAAATGTCAAGCCTCAGTAAAAAGAGCCCAGAACTAGATAGCAGAGAGAAAAAATTCTGTGATTTCTTGGCCAAGACAAGATTTCAGCACTTACTGGAAAATGTGAAGCAGTCTACTGAAATTGGAAGGAAACCCTTTCTTTCTGTCTATGATTTTTTGACACTTAGAGTAAACGGATGTGTCCAAGCAATTTCTTGGATAGGAAAACATTGCACTAATATTCCTAGCTCCTAGAAGGGGATTATTCTTGAGAGGACTGAGAAGTACAAGAATCATCTTGGTAATGCAACTGGATAACAATGAACCACTCATAAGTTAGCGTTCACTTTTTTGGCACATGATACTATATATAAGAATCTGCATTCCTTTCTTAATGATGTGTATTAAAGGTAACATACTATATAAACTGTTTTGAGGCAGGTAATCTCTATAAAATGTTAAATGATATGTAAATCAAACAGATGATTTTATAGATTGCATATATGCATTTTATAGAAAATCCACAGATATGTATATATATACAATGTACAGGTATGTATAAAATAAATACATAATATATTAATAAAACACTCTTAAATCACTAGAGTGCCACTGATTTCAGTAAAAATACACCAGTATGAAACTGGGGCATGAGTGCAATGTGTCTATAAACTGGGCTAAGGTCACTCCATGGATGTAATGTGTTCTTCTCTCTTCCCCTCCCAGTCTCCCCACAGATGTCTGCACAGTAGTTTCTGACCCCACGTGTCAGGTGTCCAAGTCTGTGGTATGCAACCCCGTCACCATCACTGATGAATGCTTACTCACCATCAGGAGAACTTTTGAGGAACCTGGAACATACTGTATAAATATCACCTTGGGGGATGACACAAGTCAAGCCCTTACCAGCGCGCTGATTTCTGTAAATGGAGGTGAGTTCACACAGCGCAGTTGTGGGTCATCTGTGAATAGCTTCTCCTGGTGGTTATTTCCCTGCAGGGGAAAAGAGCACAGGAATTTATATGGGGGTTTTATTATGCTTGGAGGCCTTAGCTGAGACTGCACCAGCTTTTGTGAGAGTCCATGCAAAGAAAAAGACACAATTATTTCCCTATGGGAATTTTAGATATTAGAACTTGGCTTCATTGATGTTTACAATCCAATGAGTACAGTAATTATACAAATCCTTCAGTATCACAGACTATAAACAGTTCTTAAGCCATAACTTATTTTTCCACCGAATAATTCTGTTGGGCAGAAAAGCAGGTAGGGACATGCCAGTCAGCTTACTCCACACATGGAGAAATAAGAGAAACAGTGAGGAATTCAGCTCACTTGAGATGGAATCAAAGTCTGTAGCTGAGCTGGCTGCCTTGGGTACTCTGTGTAGCCCGTTAACCTTGACCAGGTTTCTATTTCTACACAAGGAAAAGATGAATCAGGCTCTGGAAAGACCATGTACAGTCTGCCCAGGGTAACTATTTCAGAACAGGAGGTTTCCCTTTGGTTGGATGAGTATCACTATGTCTTGCTCATGATTATCCAAGCAGTCTTTAACAGAATCAGGTATCAAACTCAGCCTCAGTCAGAAGTCTAAATGATCATGCTGTCTCTCTGCTCACACTCCATTCCCCTCCTGACCTCCCACTGCAATGTCCTAGTCCCTCTTCTGAACCCTTTAAATACTATCAGCCAAGGAACTGACCCTTTGCCACAGTAGTTTTGGCTGATTTTATTTAATCTAGGTATAAATTTAGTTGTACCAAAATCAATTTGTGATTGCCTGACCTATAAATGCATTCCAGCTCCTACAGATGACAATCAGCATGCAGCAGGATTTTTCAGAACTGTATTCACAGAAGCTAACTTTAGCCTAACAAGGCTGGTCTTCCTAGGTTTCCTCCAGAGGGTAAAGCTAAGTTGCACTTTGGGGCTTCTGCTATAATCAAAGCAGAATTAGGACCTAAGAGAGGTTGCTGATTAGAGTAATCTTCTGAGGGAGCCCATCTAATATTTGCAAACATTTCTCATGTGCCACAATTTTCCACTCAGTTCAAGAGAAAGCAAGTATTTACGAATTTCCGGAAATCCCATTATCTGGTGCTTGAGTATTTGGTGCCTAAACATCTGGCCCTTGAAATTTGGCATGACTGTGCCTGGGTTACACAGGCATTGCACAAAACATCCGCACTTAACTTGCTTAAGCTGCTATTGAATGAGTTGAAGTCCTATGATTTAGACCCATCCCATCAGTATGTGTTGCTTTGAAAACTAGTCCAAGAACCTACCTTATTAATAAAATAAGGTAAATCCCTTTTGCCAAAGTCTCAGCTAAAATATTGTGTAAACCAGATTGTAAATTCAATAAAGGTACAGTCTGTGGACTGGAAAATCAAGATATTTAGCAGAACTTAAAAAATACTTGTAATGACTTGGCTTCTTCCATCAGATATGATGCAATTAGGAGTAGATGTGGGGTGAAATGGTTGATGACAAATCAGAGAGTAGAGTTCAATAACTGGCAGAGCTCTAAGTTCAGTTCCTGAAATGAGCACTTTAAAAAAGCAGAGCCCTCAGCTCTTGGATAAGGTAAGTAAGCTTAAGTCCGTAAAGCTCTCAGCCACACTCTGCCATCTTAGCATATGGAACTGCAACAAACAGTAACATTTAAGAAACCCGTTTTTTATCCCCTTTCCCCTGGTCATCACCTCTAAGAGAAAACTGAAGCTGATTCTAACATTAAAGCTCATGAAAAGACTGCATCTCCCATACTCTCAGTGTAAATGCTTCCCTAGCCTAGCACTGGTAAGGAGCAAATCAACCTCACTTCATGAGGTGCCAACAAGACTCTCTGTTGCCTTCCATGCTGGAAGGGGAGCCATGTGTCTCAGCTCATATGGGAAAACTGGCAAAGCCTAACTCACACTGGCAGAAGTCAGGATTAAACTGATTAGGCTGTGAAAGCACCACCTCCTGCCAAAGTCACTGACCTCCAATGTTTAGCATGTTAGAAGTATTAAGTGTACTTCAGTCTGTACAGCAATCAGATTTTGTAAAGAAAACATTGCTTTTATTTATTTCGCTGTAAAAAACAGGCTCATTTTTAATCAAACTACTTTCTGAACTCTAGGATCATCGTCAGGAAAAACAGAAGGTGTCTTCATCTTTCTCGGTGTGCTGGCAGTATTGGCCACCATTGGGGCTTTTGTCCTTTACAAGTAAGTTGCTAGTTTCTGGTATTAAAAACAGTTCAAGGAACTGTCAAAAATATTAGTTTAGATTAACAAAACTAACAAATTTGCATTAGCTATATTTTTGTTTCTTTTCACAAATATTATGGTAAATATTCAAGAAAATGAGATTATTGGATTAAGCCACAAAACCATTGGAAAATATGCAAATATTCAAGACTTCCACAGGAAATCACATTCTGTGCTCATAAGCTCAAACAGTAATACTAGGAGGCCTGGGAACTGCATGTAAGCAGTAAGCAAACTCAAACTGCACGATGTGATGCATATATGCAGTAAGACCTAGCAAACAGAAGTCTAATTTAGCTTTAAAGCTCTTAGAAGTCTTTGTTAATGACTGACAGATCAAGAACTAATCATCAAAATTCTTCATTAAATTGACAAATTCTTTGGGGAAAGGGTGCCGGGCATGGGGAAGTAGTTAACAAAAGCACATGTTCCTGCATCATGAGCTTGGATGTTTCTCATGAAACTAAGACTGCATCAAGACTCACCCTTTGCAGTCAGTGTGAGAAAGAAACACCTCCACAGAGCAAGAGAGCCTGCTCATTAACCAAGCCTTAGTCACCACCGCAGACTTAACTATTAGATGGGTTTGAAAAGCGAAGGAGAAGAGAGAATCTGTCTGTCATAATACACGAGTCTCTTATATACTGGTCACATGCTAAATGTGGATTTTCATTTAAACATCTTTCAGCAACTAACTGTGCACATTCCTTGCAGGAGGTACAAGCAATACAAGCCTATTGAGAGAAGCACAGGACAAGCAGACAACCATGAGGGACTAACTGCTTACTTCAGCAATTTCAAAGCAATTTTCTTCCCTAGTAGCACTGAGAAAAATCCTCTGCTGAAAAGCAAACCAGGCATTGTTTAAACCTTTAGTCTAACACTGGTTAGGTTACATATATAACTCATACCTGAACTGTACTTTGATGTTTTTTTTTCTTATTGTTATTATAAAAACAGGGGTAAGGTGAAAGCACATATAGATGGAATGTTAACTTCTGGGGGCTTGGTGCAGTTAGAAACACTAAAATAGTCCTTTGCAGAAAATAAGGATATAGTTTTGAGTACTTGCTGTTCTTGCTTGTGATCTAGGATAGAGTGTTCTGATTCACGCCATACCCTTTATCTGGGTTTTCTTACTTCTAGGTTAATTAGCTGCAAAAGTGATCAGGTCCACAATCTGGAGGTGGGAAAAAAAAGGCTAATTAAACAAATAATCCAACCTTGTAAATAGTCATGTTTTAAACAGAGAGTCCCTTACAGCTGCTTACTGCCTTAGCAGGATTCATGCCTTAGTTAGAAAGAAATAGAAAAACAGACACAGGGGGCAAGCATGTGTTATGCCTGTGGAATGAAACGTGCCATGGCCTATTCCCAGGCATTGCCACTGAACTGCTGACGCTGTTACACTGTTCAGGAGGTCCTAGCACAGTCTTGCTCCATGTGAGCTAGCTCCCCACCAAGCAAACCCCAGATTCTGGGAACCACCAGAGGCACTGTACCCCACCAGGAGTTTGGCAGCAGCCAAACAGCATCCTGTTTTGCAGGGTTCAACAGCATGGATGCAACTCATTACATGCCAGTTGGCCTCAGTGCCAGAAAACAGGGCTGGACACATTTAGTTTCCTACTGGACATGTCTACCAGCGCGTAAGTCTCACTATAAACTAGACCACAGATACCCAAGCAACAAGATGAGGCCCATGTGCTGGGCTCTCCCTGTTTTAACTTGTACTCTGAGTCCCGTGTATGATCCTTAGATGCAACTGCTGATGCTGCCTTTTGTTCCTTTGATTCTGTTGGCCTTGAGAGACATTGAGCTGGCACTGCTGTTCCTTGGAGGGCAGGTATGTGCTCCATGTACAAAGGTCAGCAGAATGAGGATTCTAGCAGGAAGGGGAAGAATTGAATTTCCTTTTCTCCTTCTCTTTTAATTTTTCTCTCTCCTGCTCCTCTGCCTTCAACCACTTAATCAAATAAATGAAAACCCCAATGTAAATAAAACACTATGCTCCAGTTTCTGCTTTTGCATGATGCAAAAATCTTAGGAAGTGTAAACTTCTGCAAAACCAATGTGCCTTCACTCTAGCTGCAGTTCTGTGTTAAGAAAACTCATGTTGAGGCCTTTCCCAAGTAATCTGGTCTTCTATCCGTACATGCTCATCATTCTGCATTGTGACATTTCACAGTGCTAGACCAGAAGGAAACTGCTGAAGGCTAGATTACTGGATGATAAGAAGAGCATCTTATTTGTATAGAAGATACTGCTGATAAGGTTTACTGAGATGATGAAACAGACCAAAAATGCTTTAAATAGTTGTAAGAGTTTTGCTGTTAATATTAAGGGTTATAATCAAAACAAAGTTAACTTTCAGTTGAGAGGGGCAAATGATCTTACACAATCCATTTCTAAACACTGAATTCTTTGAAGATCTATACTTCCATACAATTAGCTTATTTACTTGCCAGATCTCAATACATATTGTTCTTAGGTCCTGAGGCAATATATAAGCATAAACATATTTCCTGGTATTTTAGCAGACCTATGAAATACTCATCATTCTTAATCTCAATCTAGTATTCACCACCATTTTCCCAGTGCATGGACACCTTTTAATGATTTAAGGATATATAAAAAAAAAAAAAAAAAGCAGAATTCCATCATACCTGTGAGATTAGTTCTTCAGTTCTAAAATTCAGCAGCTTCTATCCTTGTTTCCAGGTTCTCCATTTACTTAAATTATTTTCTGGCCATTTCAGTTATATTATTAACAGCACCACAGTCACCATTGTTCCATCTTCCTTCCACGTAACACCCTATTGTCTCACCATAACTGAGCATCTAAAACCACTTTCTGACTTAAACAGAAAACACATTTCCTGCAAATATTACTGCCCTCTGTTATCAGCCAGACTGCTGACAGGAATTACTGTAATTTGTATTTGTTGCATTAGCTTGAGGCGGGACAGGGGTTTAGTGGAAAGCTTAAGACGACCTGTAATGCAGCATGAAAAAATTAAACCTGTCACAGCTATAATGCTTACAGTCGGTGCTGATGCAGGCTACCACTGACCTGGGCTATACGTAGAAAGCATCTTGTGTCCATAAAACACTGCATGTTTGGAACTCAGAGACATCTTACGCTTTTGCATAGGAAACAGCTTTTGGGCATCCTTTAAGAACTTTATCCTTTAACCTAAGTATACGGAATAGCTCGCACTGTGTTCCTTTAAATATCATGTGGGAATATTGAATTTGTGTAATTTGATTTTGCCTTTTCATCTGTAACTTCCATTTCCTACATCTTCACTTTTATACAATGGAATCTAACTGCTGCGTTGACAAATAAACCATCTAATGATTTTAAAGATTACATTTCCTTTGTCTCAGAAGGAGATACTGTCAGATAAGCAACTTGATGAGTTGTCCAATTACCAATCAAAAGAGTATCCCTGCCTCCAGAAACACAACTAGATTTGTGTTAGTGATAAGTGAGCTAAGAGCTCACTTATGAACATCTGTTACTATTGGTTAAATAGCCATTTTTACAGCCTCCCCAGTACTCAGAGCAACAGCACCACAAACCTGGGAAGGAGGAGACTTTCTTAACCAGATGACAGCTGAGGAACTCAGTTTCAGAACAGATTAGGATACAAATGAACTTCATGTCCTTCAAAGGCGAGGACAGCTGTCAAACAACACATTTGTGAATGTCAGCAAATGTTACAAGACAGGTTTCAGGCATTCCTTCTGGAGGCATAACATCGAAAGAAAAAAGGACATCAAACGTAGATGTACATCATCTTTAGAAAGAACATAGTTTCAAACATGTCATCAAGAGAAATGGAAACATTAGCTGGCTAACAAGTTTGCTAAAGATTACTTTGAAAATGAAGTACCATTTCAAACCACTTCTTTTGTTCCTCCCTCCTTTTCTTCTTGACCACTTTTTATAGCACGCAATTAAGAGACTCATCAGATACAGCAATTTTTTTCTCACCAAAAGTATTTGTAAGCTGAAGACCAGCCCCTGAAGGAATCTGTGAGACATCCAGACATTGTGTGCCCTGTCACTGTAACTTCAGTCTTGTATAGCTTAGTCACATTTCCTTTGAAGCTAAAACTTTATCAATATAGGTTTTACAACTCACACAATTGTGCCTTTTAAGTCTTACTACTATTGTTTTACCATCACACTCAGCGAGGGAGGTAAAAGAGGCTGAACAGTAACTTTTATTTTACTGACAGTGTAAAAACCGGCATCTCTGGGGAGGGGGGTGGAGGGAAACACGTTTCACCCACAGTAAACACAAATGCGTGAACTTGCCTAGGTCATAGCTTTTTAATCCCTAACAACATCCTCCGCAGCAAAACAAATACAGCAAGACTACTGCCCTGCACCCGTGAACACTGTGAGAACTACAAATGTACAACACGCTTTCCCCAAGAAAAATGTATCCATTTGAAACCTGCTGCACCCTTGTAGGCGTGTACTAGGCTTAAACCGGGATACTGGGACTGGGGTTTGTACGGCCGTGCCCACGTTTCGTGTCTGCTCCTTTCCAGCTTCACAAGCTAGGCGCTGGTTCCCGGTCTCCGGGTACCGGCCCTTCCCCTCGACCCTCCCATTTTACCGCCTCGTGGCTCTGACACCCTCAGAAAACACTGACGAGAAGCGCAAAACGGGGACGAGCCACTGCCCGCCCCGATGTCCCCATCTCCACACCGTAACCCCCACAGCGCGGCTGGGCAGTGCGGGGACAGGGCATGAACGTCCCCAGGGGGACCTCCTCTCCTCGCGGGGCTCCCGGAGACAAACACTCGACCCCACAGCCGCCTCAGCCCCACCGGCCCCCGGCTTGCAGCTGCCCCACAAGGGGAGAACGGGCAGCGACCGACGCCTCAATACACGCACTGCGCGCGCGCCCAGCGTCACTGCCCGACCGACGGCAGGATGGGCCAATGAGACGAGAGGGGCGTCACCGCCGCTCTCCAATCGCTGGGCGGCAATGAGGGAAGGGGCGGGTCCCAGCCCCGGAGCGCGGCGGCGGGCATGTGGCGGGCGGTGGCGGCGGGGCGCCGGGTGCTGCGGCCCGTTTCCGCCGCGGCGGGGGGTGCCCTCCGCCCGCAGCCGCCCCGCCGCGTGGCAGGAGTTCCCCGCGGGGGGTGCGCGCCGGCGCGGGGCGCGGCAGGCGGCGGCGGAGGAGGAGGAGGAGGAGCTGGGTTGCTGGGGGCGGTGGCGGAGCGGCCTCAGGTGGCAGGTAGGGCGGCCTAGCTGGGGCGGTGAAGGGGCGAGCTGACGGGGTAAAGCAGCGGTGCGCGACACCGGCTACGGTGCATTTAACATCCCGCCTGGTTTATTTGTCTGGTTCTCTCGTGATTGTTTGGCTTCACCGTTCTGGACGCGTTCCAGGGGGCTGCCGCAGGGCCAACTCACAGCGGGTGAGGGAGCGCGGGTGTCGAGCGGGCCCGCCTCTTACAGTAGGGCACTGCTCAAGGGCCCTCATAGCCTGTAACCCTGCGGGTGTTAAACGCTGATTAACGCGGTGTTGCGGTCTCCGTTAGAGGTAAGGCCCTGGCATGTCAGGCCCAGGCATGGCTGCAAAGCGGCGTGTCAACGGGGCCGCCGATCCGAAGGCCCTTGGTTCTGCCCTGTGCTTTCCAGCTCTGTGAAATGGTGCCCTATGCAAAACGTAACGCCTCGGGAATAAAGTAACTGGGACACACGGAATCTCGTTCTGCAGCTGCGGGAGGATCCTGGGAGCGCCTGGTGCGATGAAATCGCGCTCACCTTAGCTGACACCACAGGATTCGGGGTCACGGCGTTTGTGCTGAGCCAGCGTTGCCTCCCAAGGCTCGCTGTAAAGCAGGGAGTCGGCAGTTAGCATAGACCGAGACTGTGTGTGGTTACATACAGGAACTTCTGTAAGGGCAGTGGTACCAAGCTGGAGGTGTGATTCTCTGATGTACACTATGTGGTACAGAGAACAGTTATAGTAGCAGAATGGCTGGTTATGGGTATAAGCATTGTGTGCACAGAGCTGGTTTGTTGTAGCTGCTCTGCACATCTCTGGCCCAGATCTGACCATGGCATTCAGTGTGGCAGAGTGTGCCTGGGGTTGTTTAGAGCATTCATTCCCTAAGTAGG